GGAGTATTTTCCTTCCAAAACAAAATGGTTTTGGATGAACAAATGTAATCCTATTGTGGTCAAACAAACAATAAATACTACAAAATTTATTTGATGTAGTTCTGCTGTGGTCAAACAAACAATAAATTATACAAGATCTAATCAATAGGAAATGTAATCCTACTGTGGTCATACAAACTATAAATCCTACAAGATATAACCAATGAAATCCTACTGTGGTCATACACACAATAACTCCTACAAGATACAACCAAAGTAATCCTACTGTGGTCATACAAACAACAAATCATACAAGATATAACCAATGAAATCCTATTGTGGTCATACAAACAATAAATCATACAAGATATAACCAATGAAATCCTACTGTGGTCATACAAACAATAAATCATACAAGATATAACCAATGTAATCCTATTGTGGTCATACAAACAATAAATCATACAAGATATAACCAATGAAATCCTATTGTGGTCATACAAACAATAAATCATACAAGATATAACCAATGAAATCCTACTGTGGTCATACAAACAATAAATCATACAAGATATAACCAATGTAATCCTATTGTGGTCATACAAACAATAAATCATACAAGATATAACCAATGAAATCCTACTGTGGTCATACAAACAATAAATCATACAAGATATAACCAATGAAATCCTATTGTGGTCATACAAACAATAAATCATACAAGATATAACCAATGAAATCCTACTGTGGTCATACAAACAATAAATCATACAAGATATAACCAATGAAATCCTACTGTGGTCATACAAACAATAAATCATACAAGATATAACCAATGAAATCCTGGTTTATTCCCGATTGTCCCACTTTTTAAAATTTTAGAGTTCTGATTGTCCCACATGAAAAGTTCTGATTGTCCCACATTATTTTATGAAGTAAAATGTTCTTAGATAAACAATGTAACTGTTGTTTGTTTTGCTAAATAAACAAGAATTAATTTATTGCACATTTAATATTAATTTTATAGAAGTATAAAAAAAATGTTTTTTAAATCATTAGATTAATGCACTTTTGATTAAAAAAAATTTATTTCTGATTTATGAAATATATCTACAATGTAACTTTATTTATAAAACAAATTTCAATACCATAATTTTAATTACATTTTCTCTATAAAGTTTTTGAATAAATAATGCATGCAATTTAAAAAAAAAAAGTATAAACTCATTTACATTCTACACTTTACACGAACTTGTTGATGGAGAGATTTTTCCAGAAGTCTTTACAATTTTACTAGGGAAGTCAGAGGACATGAATACAACATTCTCTGCACTATTGAAGACTGCTAACACCCAACGTCAGATTCACCTGAACCCAACAACTTCCTTTTTTTGAAAACGAAGCTGTTGTCTAGAATTCTGCCAGATCAGCCTTTCTAAGAATCAATATCAAAGGTTGTTTTTCCAATATTCCCAGTGTCTTTGCCATAAAGTGCAGTCAACAGGACTCGTCACCAACTATAAAGAAGAACCAGACTTCCATAAAAAAAAAAAGATGTGGTATAATTGACAATGAGACAACTCTCCAAAAAAGACTAAATGACACAGAAATTAACAACTATAGGTCACAATACGGCCTTCAACAATGAGCAAAGCCCATACAGCAGAGTCAGCTTTAAAGGTCCCATATGAAAAATGTAAAAAATTCAAACTAGAAAAACTAACGACCTAATTTATGTACAAAATAATGAACGAAAAACAAATGTGTTACACAGTAACAAACGACAACCACTGAATTATAGGCTCCTGACTTGGGACAGACACATACAGAACGTGGCGGGGTTAAACTTTTTTGAAGACGCCAATCCTCCCACTAACCTGGGACAGTGTTGTAACAGTACAACATAAGAATAAACTAAAAAAAATAAGTTGAAAAAGGCTTATATCATCAGATGGGTACAGACAGAAATACATCTAACAAATCACAGAGTGGACATGGACCTGGACGGCTACTTATACATCCCCACAACAAAGACACTAAGTACAGATCTTAGAGTACTCGCAGTTACTGACAGCTAGTTCAAAGCCAATAAAAACTAAATAAAAAAATCATGCATCTAAGACTAAAATTATATGATTTCATATTACATTCCATGTTTGATGATACTTCAATTGTACCTACTACATGTATGTGCAAAATATAACATGTTAGTATTATTATTTGTTCATGGTTTTTTTCATATTTTATAAGTTACAGTGATTAGTAACCTGTAATTAACTGATACAGACTATAAAAACAAATTAATATTCAAAACAATTCCCAATTGTCCCACATTTAAACTTCCCAATTGTCCCACAAACATATTCCCGATTGTCCCACAAAATTTCATTACTTTTTTACCTGTAATTTCAAAAAGTGGGACAATCGGGAAGACACCAAGATCCTACTGTGGTCATACAAACAATAAATCATACAAGATATAACCAAAGTAATCCTACTATGGTCATACAAACAATAAATCACACAAGATATAACCAATGTAATCCTACTATGGTCATACAAACAATAAATCATACAAGATATAACCAAATGAAATCCTACTGTGGTCATACAAACAATAAATCATACAAGATATAACCAATGAAATCCTACTGTGGTCATACAAACAATAAATCATACAAGATATAACCAATGAAATCCTACTGTGGTCATACAAACAATAAATCATACAAGATATAACCAAAGTAATCCTATTGTGGTCATACAAACAATAAATCATACAAGATATAACCAATGAAATCCTACTGTGGTCATACAAACAATAAATCATACAAGATATAACCAATGTAATCCTACTGTGGTCATACAAACAATAAATCATACAAGATATAACCAATGAAATCCTACTGTGGTCATACAAACAATAAATCATACAAGATATAACCATTGTAATCCTACTGTGGTCATAAAAACAATAAATCCTACAAGATATAACCAATGTAATCCTACTGTGGTCATACAAACAATAAATCATACAAGATATAACCAATGAAATCCTATTGTGGTCATACAAACAATAAATCATACAAGATATAACCAATGAAATCCTACTGTGGTCATACAAACAATAAATCATACAAGATATAACCAATGAAATCCTACTGTGGTCATACAAACAATAAATCATACAAGATATAACCAATGAAATCCTACTGTGGTCATACAAACAATAAATCATACAAGATATAACCAATGTAATCCTACTATGGTCATACAAACAATAAATCACACAAGATTTAACCAATGAAATCCTACTGTGGTCATACAAACAATAAATCATACAAGATATAACCAATGAAATCCTTCTGTGGTCATACAAACAATAAATCATACAAGATATAACCAATGAAATCCTACTGTGGTCATACAAACAATAAATCATACAAGATATAACCAATGAAATACTACTGTGGTCATACAAACAATAAATAAATCATACAAGATAAAACCAATGTAATCCTACTGTGGTCATACAAACAATAAATCATACAACATTTAACCAATGAAATCCTACTGTGGTCATACAAACAATAAATCATACAAGATATAACCAATGAAATCCTACTGTGGTCATACAAACAATAAATAAATCATACAAGATAAAACCAATGTAATCCTACTGTGGTCATACAAACAATAAATAAATCATACAAGATATAACCAATGTAATACTACTGTGGTCATACAAACAATAAATCATACAAGATATAACCAATGAAATCCTACTGTGGTCATACAAACAATAAATCATACAAGATATAACCATTGTAATCCTGCTATGGTCATACAAACAATAAATCATACAAGATATAACCAATGAAATACTACTGTGGTCATACAAACAATAAATAAATCATACAAGATAAAACCAATGTAATCCTACTGTGGTCATACAAACAATAAATCATACAAGATTTAACCAATGAAATCCTACTGTGGTCATACAAACAATAAATCATACAAGATATAACCAATGTAATCCTACTATGGTCATACAAACAATAAATCATACAAGATATAACCAATGTAATCCTATTGTGGTCATACAAACAATAAATCATACAAGATATAACCAATGTAATCCTACTGTGGTCATACAAACAATAATCATACAAGATATACGCAATGTAATCCAGGTGTGGCTAGAATAACAATAATACCTACAAGATAAAACCAATGAAATCCTACTGTGGTCATACAAACAATAAATCCTACAAGATTTTACCTATGTAATCCAGGTGTGGCTAGACTAACAATTAATACTACAAGATCTTACCAATGTAATCCAGGTGTGGCTAGATTAACAATTAATCACACAAAATCTTACTTATGTAATCCTGCTGTGGCCATACATTTATTAAATCCTACAAGATCTTACCAATGTAATCTTGCTGTGGCCATACTAAATATAAATCCTACAATTAAGATTGTTTTAAAAATATTGACTGAATTAATTCACTACAAACAACGTTTTAAAAGATGACATACAACTTCTACTTGATGGAAACAGCTACCATTTAATAATAAATACATAAGATCAAGATGAAATTAGTATAAATATATTTTCATCCTTTTTGTTTTTTTAATACTCTTACCTCTGAAATATAAGATGTCCAAGATATTCATTATGATAACATATATGTTTTCAATACCATAAGTTAGGATCCATCATAATGATGTATTGTATTTCATACAAATTATTCATAATCCATTATTAGTTTTACTGTTGGAATTCTTATGTAGGCTGCCATAGATTATGTTAGTATCTAGGTTGCCATGAAAACAAAGTATTTCTTTACCAGAGTATGTAGATTACCACGGGAACAAAGTCTCTCTGTACCTGAGTATTTAGGATACCATGAAAAGAAAGTCTCTGCTTAACTGAGTATGCAGGCTGCCCTTCAAACATAGTACCCCTCCCTTAGTATGTATACTGCAATGGAAACAAAATTTCCCCCTACCTAAGTATGTAGGCTGCTGTGGAAACAAAATCTCCTCCATCTGCCACCATAACTGTTTTATCTGACATAACTTCCTCTGCCTCCATTAAAACTTTCAAAGGATTAAGGTGTTTCTCTGTTTTCTCTTTAGACTTTTCCCTTTAAAAAATTGGAAACTAAACCTTCACTATACACAAATGACAATCCATAATTTCAATAATCCTATCTTTAAATAATGTCCTTTACAAAAAACACAAATGATCTTTTTTTTCTGACTAAACTTTACTTATATGGCCATTTCTTAACCAAATGAATTTTTGTCACATATATTCCGATAAATCTTCAATAAGTGAGTAAATATCATTTATTTTTCTAAAAAAAAGTGTTTCATTCATTCTGCACATGATTGCAAATTTTGTTTTGATTAGTCTATTTGTAGAGGATTAAAATATAACAAAAATGGTTATGAGTCTTGAAAAATATAAGAGATGATTCATTAATATGATGAGACCTGCTGTTTAAATAGAACTATTTTCAGTGGACCTCTAAAACTAACGTCACCTAACTTGTCAAATAATTGGTAAGTTACACATTGGATGCAATTTATTAATATGCAAAATTGTTTAAACTATCAAATATAATTCCTGAGCTCTACAATAAATCAGTGATATTTGTACAATTAATGTATTATCCCTTAGATTGCTACCTCTGACCATTGTCATTCAGATTGAGCAATTTGCTACTGCTACTCTCAACTATTGTTGTTTCTGTAACTTGTTTGTTTGCACAATTACAATGGAATGGGCAGAGTCCAAATTCCTGAGATAGTGGGATTTTGGACTTGTATGGCTTTCAATTGGCTAAAATTCAACAAATGTCCAAGATTCTCTTGACTTTAAATCAGCTATAAGCAATGAAACGGAAAGTGAAAAAGTCTTATAAAAATATTACCAAAATGGTGGATACTGCTTGGAGTGACGGTGAACAAGTTTGGAATTATTTCAATGATAAAGATAAACAGTGGCAGCCACCTGAAGGATTTTGACCAGAACAGGAGATACGACAGGTGTAAATAGGAACATTCTGGCAAATTTGCCCACATAAAGACTTTTTCATTTTTATCACAATGAACTAGCTCAAAGGTATCCAGTCATTTCGTACCATAACCATTTCGTACCATTGCCATTCCATACCCAAAATTACCATTTCGTACCATGAACATAAACCATTTCGTAACATATGGAAAAAATTCTTTACCATTTCATACCATATGAAATTTGTACTTTACCATATCGTACTTGAAAAATATTGAGTTTTAAATGGGAATATTAGTATGGAATTTATTTTATGACAATTTTGTTTTAATATGCAATTTCCCTTATACTGACTAAGTTTGTTTTAATAAATTTTTTATGTTTTATATATATCTAGTGGTAATATATATTTTCTAGCGTCGAAATGTTTGTATTTATATAATAAAATGTATAAAATATAACATACCTGTATAGATTTTAAAATTATATAAAGCATACTGTATATTATAAATTTAATAGTCTCTTTTAATTCTTTTTAGAATGGTACTTATATATTTCAATTTCTTAAGCTTATGTTGTTTAAATATCAGTTTTATACATGTATACATTAAAATCTTCCATATGGTACGAAATGGTCATGGTACGAAATGGTTATGGTACAAAATGGTTTTTGTTATAGTACAAAATGGGTGGTACGAAATGGTTATGGTACGAAATGACTATGATTCAGCTCAGATAAAGCAATTTTCAATAATAATGGTCCAATTCTTAAGTCATTCACACTTATGTTTAGCTTTTACTTTTATTGAATAAACATATAATTTTAAACATTCACCTTTGTTTACCTTTATTTGCACCTGTACAGGTAGACTCTAACTAGAGACCACAAACAAACACAAGAAATGAAAAAAAAGAGATTCTAACGACACTAATTTATATAACTTTTATTGATGTATACTCAATATTTACAAAGATATAGCAATTTTAAGTTAACATGTATTTTCCATAAGTGATTAACAATTCATTAAGCAATGAACAATAATACAATAAAAATCAATGCAACAGTCTTCGAGTTTATTCAAATACTTAAATGACCACTGGAAATGAAGTCAAGGCTAAATAAATTAAATATTTACCCCTCCAACCTATCAACATACCAAATATTGTTGAACTATCACGAAGAGTTAATTAGGAACAGACCTCAATGTGAGGAATAAATTTCTCCCTGAAAACTGAGACTCATTTAAAGCTAGACATATAGTAAAGAATTCATTTATTGAAGACGTTGATTGATGTCTTCGTTTTTTTTTTTCAATTTTATAAGCCTCAAGGTTGCAGCCCCATTGATTTGAAAGGATCAATCTAGTGTGATTTCCACAATTTGAAAAAAAGGGCACCAACTTTTAAGTCATCTCAAAATGACCGAAATTGTTTGAAAAAATTTCTGGATCCTTGCTCCTTTCATTACTACCAAATCTATAAAGAGAATCAAGACAACAATCTAACTGTCAATTTGTATCATTGCTAATATGGAATCAATTTCTTATCATTTAATTTATATTACCTATTAACATTTTCTTTGTCATTATCTTTGTCCTTTAGTTTCTGGATCCATTCTTGGTCACATTTAAATCCTTTCAGTCCATCAGCTAATTCTGTTATAAAGCTGGCTACATCTCCTTCTATAGCAATAGTAGGCTTCCAGAACATATCCGAATTCTATAAAAAATAAAGCACCTCTTATGTCTTACCTCTGTAACAAACCATATTTAAAAATTCTGCCAGATTTTCTTTGTAAGACTAAAATAAAGTGCTTTAAAACAAGTATTAGTCTTCATGATTGAAATTCCTTTTACAGTTAAGAAGATGAAACTATGTTAATAAAGGCAACAGTTGTATACCACTGTTCACTAGTCATAAATTGATTAGGCAAAAAAACAAATCCGGGTTCAAAACTTAAACGGAGGGAAACACATCAACTATAAAAGGAAATCAACAGAACAACAGAAACACTGAACTGCAACAAAAACAAATGCCAACATACATAGAAACGGACAATTTGATAACAACTGCCATATTCCTGACTTGGTACAGGACATTTTAAGGAAAAATGGTGGGTTGAACCTGGTTTTATGGCTAGCCAAACCTCCAGCTTATATGGCAATGTTAAAAATACCACTAAAATGACAACACTACGTGACAGGAATATAGTACAAATAAACACAATAACACTCAGTACAGTGAAATACATAAATAAATAACAAAATAGTACATTACTACATGTAAACTGCAGAATAACAACAGACACCTCCCATGAATATACGACAGTACACCAGGACACAACAAAAGAGATTAAGATGAGCCAGAGTTTCCCACCATGCATAAGACTGTTTAAATCTGAGTGCCAATGAAACTATGTGTTCAAGAGGCAGGCAGCATGACCAAATATAAAATTCAATCCAAACTGGCTTCACTGACTTCAGCAACCATTTTTTAAAACTGTAATAGAACATAAATGAATCAAAGTTTGCATTTATTGTTTAAATTAAGAATTTCTTCTAAATTTGTTTATAATTTTCTCTATTGATTAGCATAGGCATCCATGATATGTTATAGTAATTTTTCTCACTAAATAAAACTATAGAAGATGCTTTTAATCAAAAGTAACAATAACATTAATTGTTAAGTGAATATCTTTCAGGAGATCATAATGTATCATTTACCAAATGACAATGGCTTTATAGGTTTTTCCTGATTCTCTGTTTTTTATAATATTTATAAGGTGTCATCAACTGTCTAGCTTACAGGGCATAAAATGTAACATATATAGGATAAGTTTTGTAGATACATTTGTAACTTTCTCAATTATAGTTATCATGAAACTTTTGTCTTGTAAGAGCTAGCTCATATCTTATACATGTAATTATTGTATTAAATCGAATATTCTATGGTTTTAAATCCGTATGGACTTGCTTAAATGGCATTTTAACTCATTTCAATGACTATGTTGATGCATTCAGTGCATTTAAAGGAGCCTTTGAATAGTCAAGCAAACCCTTCTCATGGCTAATCAACCTTACTTAAAACATAACGGTCAATGAGCTCATCAACCTTACTTATAATTTAACGGTCAATGGACTCATCAGAAGATTATTCTTTTGTCTCATGACATAAGAACTAAAACATATCTCCCCTGAGTTGAGATTACAGACACAATGTTTTAGTCAACCAATAAGTCATGGTGACTGTATAACTTACTTCCAGTTGTTTTTATGGTGCTTCTTAACCTAGCTGGAAGAGTGTTTGTGTTAGGAATTTAAGGTAGTCTTTCTACTGTTTACATTCACACTTGTTATGTATCAATTGAAATCTGTTAGGAGGATAGATACAAAGAAAATTCTGTAGCATCATTGAATTCATGTTCACTTGAAAAGATAAGATTTTAACATTAACTTAAATAAGCTAGCTGAGTATATATACCTCAACATAATATTTTTGAAAGCAATCTATCATGTCTTATACTGTAGAAAAAATGGATGACAGAGAGGGAAATCATCAAACGTAGAGAGAAAATTTACAGCTGTTTTTCTTTTATACTAGAAATTCTTTATGGTTGCTACCCTTCTGCACACATAAACCTATCTTGAAAGAAAAACATGTTATTTTTAAGAGAAGCAGTAAAATCAAAATGCATTAGATTTGAACAAGACAAGATGTTTGGGATACAGTATATAAAATTGCAAATATAACTGATTTTAAAGGGACATTAGCTGTCAAATAAATTCATGATAACCGATTTAACTAAAATTCTTATATTTGATTTATAACATACTAAACGTATATATTGATTATAAAAAGTATAAAATAAACAATTTACAATGCATGGGCTATATAATGTGTATCAGTATTTCGTGTGTATTTTAGTTTAAACTCCATCTAATTAACCATCAAGGTGACCTCCGAAGACTGCTGACAGTCATATAACCTGATATACACATAAATATAGATTAAAATAGATAGCGAGCTCGTGCAATTGAATTTTTCAAGGTCTGTTTGATTTCATATTATAAGTTAAAAATTTATGTTAATTATCATTTTTTACCTCAATAAGAATGCGTTTTTGTGGATCAAATCAGTCAATCAAATAGTTTACCCTTGTTTCATTTTCAATGTTGACATTCTTTTCCTTGTAATAACTGAACACACCTAATTCATGCGTTACCCATCTCTATTTAAGGGGTTAAACTGAAGGTACATGAACACAGATTCAATGAGGTCGAAATATTCCCTTGTAAGTGAATAATTCATCAGTGATGTTTCTAAGCTTATTTTGACAAACTGGCTGCTAAAAGCGAATTATTATTCCACTATTTCACTTTCATAAATGATTGAACAAAAAAAATCAAATTTAATTTTTTTTTTTTACATCTGGTAGCTAATGTCCCTTTAACAGAGTAACACTTTTAATATCATATACATTTTACAGATCATTTCTATTTAAATTGTGTATAATAGTACAATGAAAATAACAGCAATACTTACTTTAAGTAATTGTTCTTTGTTTCTATTAACAGCTATTATTTTTGATTTTCTACTAAAAGTTCTTCCATAGCTCAGTCTGAAATCAGCAACTGCACCTAAAATATTTCAAATCAGATTCTACATTACGAAGACACATTCAATCAGCAGCTGCACCTAAAATAAATATCACCAGACTTCTACATCTACAAAGATACATTAAATTAGCAGTTGCACCTAAAATAAATCAAACCAGATTTCAACATTTACAAAGATACATTAAATCAGCAACTACAGCTAATATAAAACATATAAAGACTAAGCACAACAAACTCAATCAAAAACCAAAGGTGATCTACGATGAGCCGTAACGGTAAGCAGATCCTGCTCCATAGGTTCCACCTGTTGTGTTGCTCATGTAAGTACAAACCAGGTGTTTAGTCTAATTCGGTAGAGGAAAAGAAGATGGGATCCGTCGTCATCTGTGAAAAAAATATTCCATAACAGTCAACAAGCTGGTGATGACGTCCACTACACCACTTGCATCTCTTGGTTTAATAGTTTCCTTTTTTTACATTTTTTCATTCGAGCGTCACTGATGAGTCTTTTGTAGATGAAACACATGCCTGTCATAAGAAAATTCAATCCTGGTATCTATGATGAATCTATTTCTTTGTAAGCAGCAACCCTCTATCAAGAAACACATGATGGGAATTGCAAGCTCTGGAATATCGTATCAAATGGGAGATATATACTCCATATGAGGGTGCTGCTGGAATGTTGCTACTTAGAAAGTTCACCATTGGAAAGCTGACATCATCTTTTTTTGTGGTACAGTTTTGTTCTCACCCAACCAGTATAGTCAATTTCTAGATGTAATTTTTTCGAAATACTAAGGATTTTCTACCCAAGGAATAGATTACCTTAGCTGTATTTGGCAAAACTTTTAGGAATTTTGGGTCCTCAATGCTCTTCAACTTTGTACTTTATTTGGCCTTTTTAACTTTTTTTTATTTGAGCGGCATATAAGAGTCTTTTGTAGACAAAACATGCTTTTGGCCTACAAAATTTCAATTCTGGTACCTATGATAAGTTTATTTGTATCCTTTATTCCAAGTGCTATGAAATAGATGCCTTCAACAAATTCACCAAACTTTGAATTATTCAGTGAGAGGACATCTATATAGCGGAACATGAAGTTAAAAGATATGTAAAGCTTCTTTTCATTTTTCCTTAGTAGCTCCTCTATGAAAGTTTGCCTCATACAAATATTGAACAAAAAGGAAGATCAGTACAGTCGGTTCTCATGGAAATACCAATTGTTTGTTGAAAAAAAAACATGTCCTCTGAACGTAACAAATATGAATTTTATCATTAATCAAGCATGTTGATAATGTCAGTTTCAGAAATGTTTTGCATCTGAGTGGTTATTTTTATCAAAACGATTTATCTCTACCTAAAACAAGATATTCGTATCTAGGCTGGCATTCATTTTCACAACAGAACCTATTCTTTTAAATTGTTTGGAATGGTGATTGATTGTGTAAAGGGTAGAAAAAGTCAAATATTTTAATGTTATTGCAATAGGAAAGAGCCCTAAATTGTGTGCAATCCGCACAAATCTTTGGGATTTTTTAGTATCCACATCTGATTCACACCATCCCTATAGTAGTTACTTTGACAATTACTCTGAAACCTGGCTTTGACTGCTGTTAAAATTGATTTTAATAATTTAGAAAGAGGTTTAGTGGAGCACTTTAAAGTTTAGGAAATATAACATTGTGTGTAAGGATACTTATGTAATTAAGGTATCCAATATAGTGAAGAAAGATCCAGTTCCTCCTCTTTGATTGAAATATCAAAGAAACAGAGAAGACACCTATGAATATTCAGGATATCTCTTTGACAAGTGTTGTGAGGGTATATGTGGTGTTTCTAATTGAATTGTCAAAACTTATTCCACTAACAAGCAATTTATGTAATGTGATTTACACACAAAAACGATATTCTTAAGGGCTTTATTGACATGGACAACAACATATTTGTCAAGGAGGAAGAACATCTGTGTAGCAATATTTGAGTCTTTAAAGATCTATGTAGCATGTGTATTTATAGACCCATTCAGTTTTTAAATTCTAATTTGTATCAACGACCTCACAGCTTGAACCAATTTGGAAAGAGTATCTTCATCTTCTTTTTGGCATCAAGCCTATTACAAGATATTATCCTTGACTGAATTCGTCAATATTGAGAACTTGAAATGTATGTAATTGAAAATTTTAGGTGCAATTTGTTTGGTTTAGATGTAAGAGATGACAGATACAGACTGATCATCAAAGTAGAGGGTATTTTAGAGTTAACTGTCTTATAATGGATTGTGCCCAAGTTAATGCCATCAAGACCTCTGATGACAATGGAAAGTTTTAGAAAGGACCATTTCTCCATTTCATTTTTTCCAATAGGAAGCAGTCTGAAAAGTATGTGACTGGCTATAAGTGTATCATGTGTATTACATTGTTATGCTACGCATTAATGAAACTGAGATGCTAGCTATAAGTGTATTACATTGTTATGCTATGCATCAATGACACTGAGATGATAGCTATAAGTGTATTACATTGTTATGCTATGCATTAATGAAACTGAGATGATAACTTTAAGTGTATTACATTGTTATGCTATGCATTAATGACACTGAGATGATAGCTATAAGTGTATTACATTGTTATGCTATGCATTAATGAAACTGAGATGATAACTTTAAGTGTATTACATTGTTATGTTATGCTTTAATGACACTGAGATGATAGCTATAAGTGTATTACATTGTTATGATATGCATTATTGTAACTGAGATGATAGCGATAAGTGTATTACATTGTTATGATATCCATTACTGTAACTGAGATGATAGCTATAAGTGAAACTGAGATGATAGCTATAAGTGTATTACATTGTTATGCTATGCAATAATTAAACTGAGATGATAGCTATAAGTGTATTACATTGTTATGCTATGCATTAATGAAACTGAGATGATAACTTTAAGTGTATTAGATTGTAATGATATGTATTAATGAAACTGAGATGATAATTTTAAGTGTATTAGATTTTAATGCTATGTATTTATGAAACTGAGATGATAACTTTAAGTGTTTTACATTGTTATGCTATGCATTAATTAAACTGATATGATAGCTATAAGTGTATTACATTGTTATGCTAGGTATTAATGACACTGAGATGATAACTTTAAGTGTATTACATTGTTATGCTAGGTATTAATGACACTGAGATGATAACTTTAAGTGTATTACATTGTTATGCTATGCTTTAATGACACTGAGATTAAAGTGTATTACATTGTTATGCTATGCATTATTGTAACTGAGATGATAACTTTAAGTGTATTACATTGTTATGCTATGCATTAATGAAACTGAGATGATAACAATAAGTGTATCAAATTGTTATGCTATGCATTAATGAAACTGAGATGATAGCTATAAGTGTATAACATTGTTATGCTAGGTATTAATGAAACTGAGATGATAGCTATAAGTGTATTACATTGTTATGCTATGCATTAATGAAACTGAGATGATAACTTTAAGTGTATTACATTGTTATGATTTGCATTAATGAAACTGAGATGATAGCTATAAGTGTATTACATTGTTATGCTATGCATTAATGAAACTGAGATGATAGCTATAACTGAGATGATAACTTTAAGTGTATTACATTGTTATGCTATGCATTAATGAAACTGAGATAATAACTTTAAGTGTACTACATTGTTATGTTATGCATTAATGAAACTGAGATGATAGCTATAAGTGTATTACATTGTTATGCTATGCATTAATGAAACTGAGATGATAGCTATAAGCGTATTACATTGTTATGCTATGCATTAATGAAACTGAGATGATAACTTCAAGTGTGTTACATTGTTATGATATGCATTAATGAAACTGAGATGATAGCTATAAGTGTATTACATTGTTATGCTATGCATAAATGAAACTGAGATGATAGCTATAAGTGTATTACATTGTTATGCTATGCATTAATGAAACTGAGATGATAGCTATAAGTGTATTACATTGTTATGCTATGCATTAATGAAACTGAGATGATAGCTATAAGTGTATGACATTGTTATGATATGCTTTAATGAAACTGAGATGATAGCTATAAGTGTATTACATTGTTATGCTATGCATTAATGAAACTGAGATGATAGCTATAAGTGTATTACATTGTTATGCTATGCATTAATGAAACTGAGATGATAGCTATAAGTGTATTACATTGTTATGCTATGCATTAATGAAACTGAGATTATAGCTATCAGTGTATTACATTGTTATGCTATGCATTAATGAAACTGAGATGATAGCTATAAGTGTGCATTGATTTAAGTAGGTATTTGTAACAATAAGTTTCTAAACATTGTACAGAGAATGAAGTTATGAAAGTGGTAGTGACTAAAGTTTATTGTGAATATGATGAATACCCTTCACAATAAACTTTATTCACTACAAAGAAGCTTTAGTAAAAATGGCAGTAATTACTTAATCTTACTATAAGGAGATTTATTTAAACTAACCTGCCAATATAACTACATCAGCCTCCTTCAGAGCTTCTCCTCTCTTCTGTCTGGGTTGTATTGGACTGTACTGACCTAGAAGTCCCCTGGCCATACCGCCTAGGAAACAAGGAATCCCTATTTTCTATAAGAAGGATAACAAACAAATATTTATGAAGATTAGATTTGTGATTGCTTTTTCCCTCATTGAGAGGGAATTCCTATTTTCTATAAAATAAAATCACAAATTTTATTGATTTGGACCCTATTTATAGATTAACCATGGCCATACCTCCATTGAGAAGGAATACCTAATTTTTCTTATCTATTGCCAGTTTGTTGACCAATACATTTGAATTAAACTGTATTACAGATTTTCTCTGAGAAAACTTACATTAACATGACAATCATTCACACCTGGACCAGAAAAGAAATTCCTTCATGCCTCACATCCCTGATAACAGGGAGATTCCATTTTATTCATGTACTCGATGTAGATAAAATTATATGAATGCATTAATAATCAGTATTTCTAAATAGACTGTATCAGCACAACTTTTCTCTTACTAACTATATCCCATGAACTGGGAATATTTTACTTCTGTTTTTCTGTAAACAATAACAGAATCTAGTGAACTGTTTTACAAAGCAGAATGTCTCTCTTTCTTATACACATATCATATGTATGTATGGACAGTCCGACTGCCTTTGCCACAGTTTATGTGGATAAATGGGAATCTGTTTTTAAACATATAAGAAATGAACTGGAGTTGTTGTTCTGCTTTCTTATGTCTCTCAATAGTAAAGATTCATAATTTTCTTTCTGAAAAGGGAAAACAAGAGGCAAGACAGCCATTCTTCATTCACAATTACACTTGGAGTATTGAAAAAAAGTTTTATTTAGCTTCCATCATTTAACATTTCATAAAGCAAACAAACGCTAATTATGGAAAGTTGTCTCATTGGTATTCATACAAAATCTCTTCATCCATGTTATCATAAACAAAGGAATTATCCATCTTTTGGGATGAATAGAATTATAGATGAGGTTTATTGTTATACATGTACTGCAAGATATCATGAATTTTCTCATGCTTATGTGTTCTTGTTTAAGTCCAAATCTGTGTTGATTGTGATGTTTTGTATATATGTTGTAGTCGTTTGTAAAGGTTTTATTGAGCTTATTTTCTTTGACTGAATCAAATTTACTTACCCACTTACTCCTTGCTCATTTCAATATAACTTATCTGTGTAATTCAGCATTTATTTTATCTTAATTATTGTATGATATGTAGAAAAATTTACCTTGGACATTGAACAAGATCATGTCTTTCTACACTGGTAGCTATACAAAAATCTACTCTAAATGTAGAAAGGAGATACCATGATAAAGTCTGACATGTCCTTTACTTTAGTTTGCTTTCAGTAATAGTAAGCATATGGCGATCATGGCAATACAATGTTGTTTAAAATTGCTTACTTCTACCTATGTTTTTGCAGTCTTTAATAGATATAATATAATTAAGTGCTTTTCCTAAACTGGTTTTTATTGTGAGTTCTTCTTTAAATTCACTCATCAAGTCTTCTACTATTCCTTTAATGAATACTTTTCTAGATGTCCTTAATTGTTCTGCAGGTAAATGGGATAGCAAAGCTTGAATTCCCACAGGTATCAGATATCTCCTGGCTTTAGATATTAGTTCTATCACATATAAATACCTCTAAAGATTTTCTATTGGTTCTGCAATCACAGGAGAAAATATAGCTTGACTTCCCACAAGTTATCAGAGTCTTCTGGCTTTAGCTATTAGTTCTATAAAATGTAATTACCTCTAAAGATTTCCTTAATTGTTCTGCAGGCACAGGCGGTAATGTAGCTTGACTTCCTACAAGTATCAGCGGTCTCTTGGCTCTTGATATCAGTTCAATACTTTTTTGTACTGAGGAAAAAGAAAACCTCAAAATATCAAATCGAATAACAATCATTATAAAATCATTTTTTTACATAAATTGATCTTGATTTTTCTTTTTGGAGTTAGATAGACCCTAAACTTTGTGGACTAAGCCTTACATTAAGTTTAAAATATCCATGCATGGATGCTTTGACAATTCATATGTCAATTGCCTAATTGTCTAATTACCATGGATACTTTGACAATATTGTTCATATACCAATGATAAAAAAATTTGCAGCTTGTTCAGATTCAGAATATTTGGAGCGTTTTAGGGTTAAGAACAATAATTTTTTGGTGTCAGATAACTTGGAGCTTGTTTGGTTTCAGAACATCAGATGCTTGTTTGGATTCAAAACATTTGGACCTTGTTTGGATTCAAAACATTTAATGGTTCTCTTTTTTTCAGAATATTTGGATCTTGTTTGGTTTCAGAACATTTGGGGCTTGTTTTGATTCAGAACATTTCATGCTGGTTTGGGTTCAAAACAATAGGAACTTGTTGGGTTTTTGAAAATTTAACGCTTGCTTGGTTTCAGAATAATTTAAGCATATTTAGTTTCAGAACATTTTGAGCCTGTCTGGTGTCAGGACATGTGCAGCTTGTTTCGATTTAGAATAAACTCGAGAACAGTTGAAGTGACACCACCAAAATTCAAACTTGATCTGCCTTTTGTGGTAATAAGCATTGTGTATAAGTTTCATAACATTTAGTTGAGGCAAACTAAAGTTAGAGAACGGAAACCAACTTTGGGACATACGGACAGATGTACAGACGTACAGACAGACAAGGGGAAAACTTAATGCCCCCTCCGCTACAGGCATAAAAAAGAATTATACTAGACATGGTTTCTACCTATTGACTAGCTTTTTTTAATTAACTTCATACAGAACAAGTTTTTTTTAAATAACTATAGTCTGTCGTTTTAAAATTTTTTTACAAAGTTTATGAAACAAATAAATGTAGGAGAATTAGAAGATTACTTTTATACATTCTCTCATAGTTCAAAGTCAAAATAGCTGTGTTTAAGAGTACACAACAACTCTATTTTTGTGCTTATACCTGAGACTACTATAACACAATCGGAAATATATGTTTTACTATTTTCCATGGATTATTAGCAAATGATATTTTCCGTATCTAGTCCTAAGCAAAAGCGCTGTATTATTTTATATCTGACAAGCTTAATTTCGGATTAAATTAAGTAAGGAGGCTATGATTTATAATTAAGGTAGGTTTGGGCTGACTTGGTGTCATACCACCCGCCCTGTACTCTGTATTTTTTCACATAAATCATATAGATTTCAGATTCTTCAGTTTAAATATCATTATTCAAATTTTGTTTAAAAACTAACACACCTATGACGAATAGTAACGTATGGCTTAGTACAAAATACAGGAATTAACCTATCATTGACAGAGATACGACCACGAGACATTGATACTACAGAATCCCTAAAATCCTTCAATCTGCATACAAAAATATATCATTATTCGAATAACCATGTTGAATTTACACCCACAAAACCACTAAAAACTAAGTATACCATGCAGACATTTAGATATATTGATGGACCACTTACAACACCTCATATAAAAACAAACACGCTCTATTCATAAAAAAAGATGTGCGAATAAAAGTTTATTTGATGAGGAAAATTAGACTCCTTTGATCTCGAGTTAACTTGTTCAACAGCTAATTATTTAGCCTAAATTTCTACTGAATGCTAACCCTTTAATGAAAGAAATGATAATCAGCATTCTATTTAATAAAAAAATTCCCCCGAGAAATAATCTCCAGGTGATTGCTATTTGAATTTTATTACTTATACATCGAAATACAAGTTAAAGAATTCTGGTAAACTAAATTAAACACAGATGCAATGGTATCACTCTATTAAATTTAGGGAAATATAGCATGAATTTTATTCATTTATTCTTCATATTTGAATCTTTATGTTAATTGCAGAGAATGTAAATGAAAATTTTTCCTTTTTTAGTTTTATTCACTGCTGGTATAAAAAAATTTGATTTTTTATTTCAAGGAAATCATACAATTATTTTTTTCTCATTGTCATTGGATATTTAATCTCGTTGTATTTAACTCGCCATTCCGGCTATTTCTGTTAATCCATTCAAAATGACAACATATTCACACCTGTTAAAGCTTACGTTTGAAGCTTAATTGCCCTCGGGTAAAATAAACGAATTGTTTTACAAATTCAAGAAATACACAATGTCTTTCCGAAATAACAGACACATTCTATTCACACAGACTTTGCGTTGAAATGAAATAATTAAGGTAAATAAAAAGGAAAAATATTTTCAGTTCAATATCAATAAATAATCTGTCTTCAATAAATATTTAAATAAAATTAAATCGCAAATATATACCATAAGATATTTTATTTAATCAATGCAAAATGTTACACATGTTCATTTTCTTTCATTCTTCTTTTATGGTTATTAGCTATGAGAAACGGTCATCTGCGCGTTATTAATTACGGAAAAATTCGGTAAGCAATTAATACTTTAACTGATTTTATTATTTCCCATCATTCATTAAATCAGGTTAAAACGTCACAACCCGATGACCTAAGTCAACCAAAAAAGTTACAAATACTTGATTTTCTCCGTTATTAGAGGGAATATAAATTCAAAACTTTGTGAATGTGTTTTTTTATGTTATGAGGAACATATTTAGATGATAAGTAAATAAACTGTTAACACAGAGATATGTCTCGCCTATTTGTCATGTTTGTTATTTTGATAATGCAAATGTTGAAATTAAAATAGCAATACTTTAATATGTAAGTTATGCAAATATTCAAAGTCAATGAACAATGACTGAAGGTACAGGGCTAAACAATCTCCATGGAAATGAGATATACCAATGCCAATACAACTGCATACCAAATACCACAGAAATCTCATAAGTCGTTCCCTTTAAACAAACCTAAACACAAACATTAACTTGTAAACTATGTAAAAGTCAATGAACCATAATGAAGGTGTGGGGTTATATAATCTCGATGGAAATGAAACTTGCAAATGCCAATACATTTGCATACCAAATATCATTGACTTAACATTAGTGGTTCATCTTAAACTGACCTAATCACATTCTAATACATGTAAACTAAGCAAAAGTTTCAAAGTGAATAGACCATGACTGAGGGGGTGGGGCCAAATAATCTCCGTGGAAATGAGATATGCCATTGCTAATACAACCGCATACCAAATATCATTGACCTATCACTAGTGGTTCACCATAAACTAGACCTTATCACAAACTAATACACTGTTGACACCGCTGACGCCGGAAACAGCATACCTATGTCTCGCTTTTTGACTCCGTCAAGGCGAGACAAAAATCGCGGATTTTCCCCTTAAACATTTCTTATTATATTTATATACACTACAAATCAGTAAAAGTCTGAAATGGCCTATATCTGTACTCGACTGTACTGATTTTTACTCGACCAGTCTGAATTGGTCTGAATGTTACTCGACATTACTCGACCCCAGTCAACCATACTTGACCGTACTGATTTGTACTTGACTCTTATCTTTGCCATTGAAAATAGTCTGAACTATTACTCGACCAGTCTGAAACAGTCTTAACCCATTCTCGACCTGTACTCGACCAATTTTTACAGTCTTAACCATACTCGACCAAAGGTCTGAACAATACTCGACCAGTCTGAACCATACTTGACCAAAAAACCTATACTTTTTTTAATTTTAGCTGTTGAAATAATTTCTTTTTCTGACATGACAACAGCCACAATAAAATAAAAATATATATAAAAACATATTTTTACATCCTTAAATGATTCTCAGATTTATCAAATAGAGATAGTTAAATTAAATTATCTTATACAATAATTTAATTATATTAATTTTAAAGTTTTAGAGTTTTGTTAAAAAAAAGATTTTCTTTTAACTAAAAACCACACCTTTACTGAGGGTAATAAAACCTTATTAAGGTGCTTCTTGTTTGGCATGTTTTTTTCTTTTTTTTTAAACTTAATTTTCCTAAATTCCTAAAGAAAAACTATATAGGTTTCATGGTTACATACAATAGTTATATAATTATCTTTTTAATGAGGTAACAACAGCCAAAAAATCACTGAATTTGTTTTAACCTTATATTAGAAATATATCTATTCTTAATATAATTTGGGATATATTATATATAATATATATCAAAAAGGGATAAAAAAATTAAAGAAATAGATCAAAAATTTTCTTCTGATTAGTGGTAAAGTATAAAGTAATACCTCCTGCTTGGGGCAAACTCATTAAAAAGATCACACCTGGTCAGAGATTGATTGATTGTTGGTTGCTTAACGTCCAGTGGCAAATATTTCATGCATATTCAGGACGAGAACAAGTTCACAATAAATACAATAGGTAGGTTCTGTAATAGATTAAGGGATTAAGGTCGGAGAAATCTAGACTGCCACGGGAAATGAGGGTATATTGGATAGGGACAGAAATTTAGCCTTGCAACAGGTCACCTACGGACCCCTCAAAGAGTTGTTGCAAGGGTTCTTAACGTGCAAAGAGCGTGGCACTCTCTTTACACGAGGCATCGGATTTTACGTCCCCATTCTGACCGGACGTGGCTGCAAATTTGTACATCCCGCACAGCCAAACGGACGCCCCACTTTAGCACAGGTTTTACTGCCGGTCGGAGGAAGACCAATGGTGACCATACTTCTATTCCCCAGTCACCCTTGGGGTCCTGGTCAGAGAGTATTAATTTCTAATTAACATTCATTAAAAATTGCAACATCCTGTAAAACTTAAATCGCAAGGCCTTTTGAATTCACTAGATAAGTAATACACGAGTTTAAGAAAAAAGGGCTTTCTTTTTACCTGTAAAACACACATGTACTGAGGTAATTAAACCTTATTAAAGTGCTTCTTGTATGCCATGTCTTTAATTTTGACAAAAGTTATTTAAATTTAATTGAAATAAATTTTTTCTGCAATTTTGGAACACATTTCCTTTTTTAAATGGTTATCAAGGATTGCTATGGAAGTTCTATTATCATGATTATATAAAATTCTTGGTTTTACAAAACAAAGGTGTGATTTTTAAAATTTATTAAGTTGCTTTATATACTATTTTAAATATATTTTAATTAAAAAAAATGTTCACTGCATTATTAACTAAACTCAACTGACACCATAAATCTATACAAGGCTTAGGTAAATGGTGAAAATTGTCCAGTAACCATAAAATATATCTGAAACATTAAAAAAAAATTGAATACATTTAAAATATTAGTCACAATTCAGTTTTGAGATTATTTGATCAGCTTGTTTTATTTTTATTTTAAAGGTGATATATATATGTAAGTGTTGATAAATATGGTGTTGAATTTATATTATGTTTATTGTGAAATTTTGGTTTCAATGCCATATTGAATACATTTTAAATTTCAAATTGTTGTTCAAATTTCTAGCCAGGGGAAATAGCTGTTAAAAACAGTTCCTAAATTGATGAAATACAATAGATAGATACAAAAATTAGGTCTAGGTTGGTTAAGAATTAGTCGAGTATGGTTCAGACTTAGTCGAGTATGGTTCAGACTAGGTCGAGTATGGTTCAGACTAGGTCGAGTATGGTTCAGACTAGGTCGAGCATGGTTCAGACTAGGTCGAGCATGGTTCAGACGAAAATAAAATGGTTAAGTACTGGTCGAGTAAAGGTCGAGTACAAGTTCAGACTGTTAAGTATGGTTCAGACTACAGTCGAGTATTATCAAGTAAATTTCAGACCAATTCAGACTGGTCGAGTAAAAATCAGTACAGTCGAGTACAAATATAGGCCATTTCAGACTTTTACTGGTTTGTAGTGATATATATATAATCATCAATCTTTTTTAATAAAAACAAAAAAATTATAATTTCATATATATATAAATATAGTGTATACAAGTGCCTAAGAATGTAACTTTAACACACTAATGAGTGTTATAAAATTAGTTGTTATATTTTATATTATTCACGCAATATTTCGTTAAACAAATTAGCTTCATCTAACTTTTACCTGGTTGGCTGCACGCGCCTGATGAAGCTAATTTGTTTAGCGAAATATTGCGTGAATAATATAAAATATAACAACTAATTTTATAACACTCATTAGTGTGTTAAAGTTACATTCTTAGGCACTTATATAATTTAATGTAGTAACTGCATCAGTTGATTTACAAACTGATCCACGCCTAGATAGATTGAATGTTGATTGTTGCTATTTTTAGACACTATAAATATAGTGTATACCATATAGTATGATACATAAAAGTCAACACCAAATTAAAAAAGAATGATGCTTTGTAACACTTAAGAAACATGTTCTGATTTTCTGCAATGAAATGCAGGCTTAATTCCCTACAATTGTAACAGGGGTTCAAATTTACTTTAAGCAATGGAAGGTCCAGGACCTTTGACCAAAGATACTTAAAGGTCCTCCATTATTCTTAGAAGGTCTAATTTTTATTGAAAATTAAATTTATAAAAATATAAAATGCTTATCATAACAAATCACTCATCATATCTTACTACATTAACCTCATTGTTTTCTGAATTTCTTCAGATAAATTCAGCCAGAAAAAGGCTTCCCCTTATTCCAACACTATATGCTGTGTTAAATAACACTTTGTACCTTTATAAATGGTTTTGTTTCAATTGCTGCTTAAGAACACTTGCCTAACTTTGTGTCAGATAACAGCTCAACTTCGTTTTCAAACTTGGGGTCAGTTTCTTTTAATCACTTTTTTTGGCAAGACATATCTAGATATTAAGTGGTAATTTTTCATCATGATTTTTTTATGGAGTCAAGTTTTAATTTTAATTAAATTTGGGTATCAATTACAATTTAGTTTTTGTTGTCCAATGAACCGCGGCACGATCCCTTTCAATGTTTGTGGGAAAAATTTATGTTCTTTGTTTTCCCTGTAATATTTTTGGTCTTTAGTCAGATCCTGTCTTTCAGGCTGCAATACTTAAGACGTTTAATCAATCACCCCCCCCTCCTTTGTTTTCCCTATTTCACCAATCAAACCCTTTCTATCCCCTATTTCATAAGGGTTTCTTCTGGAAGGGGTCAATCCAAAACCAAACCGACTCATACCGTTTACTGGTTATGATTTATTATTATATTTTCAAGTTTCCCGAGATCTTGTACAACAACCGGTCAAGACTAATGTTTCACATCAAATCAATTGTGAAGAATTTAGGCAAATACAAAAGTTTCCTTTTAGTAAAGTTGCATATTTCAAGATTGTTTTTGTTCAAAATGCTTTTGTATCTTCTTAACCTGCAAAAATATGAAAGTCCATTGGGTGTATCTAACTACCGGTGGGAAGGTTGGAACACGTAAATAAAGGACCATGGACCTCGGACCACCGCTAATTTGAACCCCTGTTGTAAAATTATAGGGAATGTTTTTTTCTGAATATTTTGCATTAAACCAGATGTGACGTACTATGTTTTGGTGGTTTTACACTTTTAGTCATGATAGTAGTATGCAGAATAAAAAATGATTGTAAGCTTACAAAGTGAACTATACGTCTTAAGATATTTGTAACTAATGTAACTTGCACACAAAAGTCAAGTATGCAAACTATTCAACAAAACTGTCTATTCTCCACAAACACTGAAACTTCTCAATTGCCTTATTCCTGACTTGAAACAGATATTTACAAGAAATTTCTCATTTTGAAAATGATTTGCTGTTCTATTCACATTTATAAATAGAAAAAGAAGGTTAATATGATATGGAAATCTTGCAATAGGCATTCAGGGATATAGAATGTAATTATGACTTTATGCATTTTGATTAAGCTTATAACAGATAGTTTAAATATTAAATGGACATTTGTTATAGTAAACAAAATTGATGAACTTGATTTTGAAATAAAATTAAGAGTTAAGAGCTATGAGCGTAGAAAAAGATGCTCCAATACTTTGTATTTATTTAATAAAATGGCATCAATCATAGGAATGGTAATTGGTCTGGGCAGTTAAATATTTAAATTGGACTTTTTTAAATTATCTTGTAGATATGAAAAAGAAACTCTAACCTGCCCATTCTGGGATCTTCCTCATAAGAATAAATCTATGATCCCTCACGTGCAGAGCAAGATTATTCAAAACATTTAAAAGAAAATTTGAATCTTATAAAATTTCTTATACAAGAAAATTTAATTCCATTTTGAAGTATATCAATTTTTTCAAAACTATAAATTGCCCAAAGAAAATATTATATTTATTTGTGCTGTATAATGTTAAGGAACAATTTGGTATTAGTTATTTGATAGAAAATAAATTGCACAGTAACCTGAACAAACCTTGTGAAGATGAAGCTTTAGGGATGACAGGTTTTATTGGTCTTTTGTCTCTCTCTTCAAATGCTCCAGCAAACAAGTTTGATATGTGATTACGTAAGTACCTACAAAACATACAGTTCATTACGTAAGTGCCTACATTACACAATTCATTATGTAAGTACCTACATTATACAGTTCATTACTTAAGTACTTACATTATACAGTTCATTACGTAAGTACCTACATTATACAGCCCATTAAGTAAGTGCCTACATTAAACAGTTCATTAAGTAAGTGCCTACATTATACAGTTCATTACGTAAGTGCCTACATTAAACAGTTCATTAAGTAAGTACCTACATTATACAGTTCATTACGTAAGTACCTACATTATACAGTCCATTAAATAAGTACCTACATTATACAGTCCATTAAGTAAGTACCTACATTATACAGTTCATTACGTAAGTACCTACAAACTATACAGTTCATTACGTAAGTACCTACATAATACAGTTCATTACGTAAGTACCTACATTATACAGTTCATTACGTAAGTACCTACATTATACAGTCCATTAAGTAAGTACCTACATTATACAGTTCATTACGTAAGTACCTACGTTATACAGTCCATTAAGTAAGTACCTACATTATACAGTTCATTAAGTAAGTACCTACATTATACAGATACAGTTCATTACGTAAGTACCTACATTATACAGATACAGTTCATTACGTAAGTACCTACATTATACAGATACAGTTCATTACGTAAGTACCTACATTATACAGTTCATTACGTAAGTTCCTACATTAAACAGTTCATTACATAAGTACCTACATTAAACAGTTAATTACGTAAGTACCTACATTAAACAGTTCATTACGTAAGTACCTACATTAAACAGTTCATTACATAAGTACCTACATTATACAGTTCATTACGTAAGTACCTACATTAAACAGTTCATTACGTAAGTACCTACATTAAACAGTTCATTACGTAAGTACCTACATTATACAGTTCATTACGTAAGTACCTACAAACTGTACAGTTCATTACGTAAGTACCTACATTATACTGTTCATTACATAAGTACCTACAAACTATACAGTTCATTACGAAAGTACCTACATTATACAGTCCATTACGTAAGTACCTACATTATACAGTTCATTATGTAAGTACCTACATTATACAGTTCATTACGTAAGTACCTACATTATACAGTCCATTACGTAAGTACCTACATTATACAGTTCATTACGTAAGTACCTACATTATACAGTTCATTACGTAAGTACCTACATTATACAGTTCATTATGTAAGTACCTACATTATACAGTTCATTACGTAAGTACCTACATTATACAGTCCATTACGTAAGTACCTACATTATACAGTTCATTAAGTAAGTACCTACATTATACAGTTCATTACGTAAGTACCTACATTATACAGTTCATTAAGTAAGTACCTACATTATACAGTTCATTACGTAAGTACCTACATTATACAGTTCATTAAGTAAGTACCTACATTATACAGTTCATTACGTAAGTACCTACATTATACAGTTCATTAAGTAAGTACCTACATTATACAGTTCATTAAGTAAGTACCTACATTATACAGTTCATTACGTAAGTACCTACATTATACAGTTCATTACGTAAGTACCTACATTATACAGTCCATTACGTTAGTACCTACATTATACAGTTCATTATGTAAGTACCTACATTATACAGTTCATTATGTAAGTACCTACATTATACAGTTCATTACGTAAGTACCTACAAACTATGCAGTTCATTACGAAAGTACCTACATTATACAGTCCATTACGTAAGTACCTACATTAAACAGTTCATTACGTAAGTACCTACATTATACAGTTCATTACGTAAGTACCTACATTATACAGTTCATTATGTAAGTACCTACATTATACAGTACATTACGTAAGTACCTACAAACTGTACAGTTCATTACGTAAGTACCTACATTATACAGTACATTACGTAAGTACCTACAAACTGTACAGTTCATTACGTAAGTACCTACATTATACTGTTGATTAAGTAAGTACCTACATTATACAGTTCATTAAGTAAGTACCTACATTATACAGTTCATTACGTAAGTACCTACATTACACAGTTCATTACGTAAGTACCTACAAACTATACAGTTCATTACGTAAGTACCTACAAACTATACAGTTCATTACGTAAGTACCTACATTATACAGTTCATTACGTAAGTACCTACATTACACAGTACATTACGTAAGTACCTACAAACTATACAGTTCATTACGTAAGTACCTACATTATACATTCCATTACGTAAGTACCTACATTACACAGTACATTACGTAAGTACCTACATTATACAGTTCATTATGTAAGTACCTACATTATACATTCCATTACGTAAGTACCTACATTACACAGTACATTACGTAAGTACCTACAAACTATACAGTTCATTACGTTAGTACCTACATTATACAGTTCATTACGTAAGTACCTACAAACTATACAGTTCATTACGTAAGTACCTACATTATACAGTACATTACGTAAGTACCTACATTACACAGTACATTACGTAAGTACCTACAAACTATACAGTTCATTACGTAAGTACCTACAAACTATACAGTTCATTACGTAAGTACCTACATTATACAGTACATTACGTAAGTACCTACATTACACAGTACATTACGTAAGTACCTACAAACTATACAGTTCATTACGTAAGTACCTACAAACTATACAGTTCATTACATAAGTACCTACAAACTGTACAGTTCATTACGTAAGTACCTACATTATACAGTACATTACGTAAGTACCTACAAACTGTACAGTTCATTACGTAAGTACCTACATTATACTGTTGATTAAGTAAGTACCTACATTATACAGTTCATTAAGTAAGTACCTACATTATACAGTTCATTACGTAAGTACCTACATTACACAGTTCATTACGTAAGTACCTACAAACTATACAGTTCATTACGTAAGTACCTACAAACTACACAGTTCATTACGTAAGTACCTACAAACTATACAGTTCATTACGTAAGTACCTACATTATACAGTTCATTACGTAAGTACCTACATTACACAGTACATTACGTAAGTACCTACAAACTATACAGTTCATTACGTAAGTACCTACATTATACATTCCATTACGTAAGTACCTACATTACACAGTACATTACGTAAGTACCTACATTATACAGTTCATTATGTAAGTACCTACATTATACATTCCATTACGTAAGTACCTACATTATACAGTTCATTACGTAAGTACCTACATTATACAGTACATTACGTAAGTACCTACATTATACAGTTCATTACGTAAGTACCTACAAACTATACAGTACATTACGTAAGTACCTACAAACTATACAGTTCATTACGTAAGTACCTACAAACTATACAGTTCATTACATAAGTACCTACAAACTATACAGTTCAAGTCATTTGGAACATTTAAAGATTACTATTCTATTTAATTCACTTGCACAGGTCACCTAGTCATAGGTGAAAGATATTTTCGGGAGTCAGAGGGGTTATAAAGCTACAAAATTTATCTCTAAATGATTATTCAGCTTTGTTTTACTAGCTTAGCAGAGATCCTTTATGGATAGCACCCTATGCCATTGGCTCATACTTTATTGAAATGTCCTATTCTAATTTTCCAAAGGGGTCAAAAAGTTCAAATAAATTATTGTATTGATCAAGATAATGAGCCCCTTGTCCCAGTTAAACAAACTAAGACATTGTCGTCATGCTTTGGATAAGTGTCAAGTATAGAAGAGGAACAAGTCTCTGTTGGTCATTCCAGTATGTTTTGTTACTCGAAATATCTCTGATTTTCTTAAGCCATTTAAGGATAAAATACGAGAATACTGAACATTATTTTGACAAAATCAATGCAGCGTTTGATTTGAATATCATTTGACCATCAATGCATTAAGATCTCAAACACTATGATCTAAAATTAAGAAAACTGGAAATGGGCCAACAAACTCTCGTCTTTTGGATCACCTGCAGATACTGGACTGAAACATAGGTGAAAAGGAAAAATAAGTCTAAGGGTCTGGTACGGACCCAGCTATGTTTGACTAGAAAAGGAATCTGCTATTAAAACAAGCTAAAGCTATTATGATATGTAAACTTTGGCTATCATCTGCATCTTGGATCTATGAATATTTCTCATTGAGCTATTTGAAACTAACAAATCGATAAGAAGAAGTTATCTTCTTCTACATACTCTAAAGAAATCTTAATTTTAAAAATAAAGTAAATATATTTTCACATTAGTTAGTGTTTGAAAAAATATTAACAGAACAATTACTGAAGCATCAAAATTACCGTCTTTAGGTGTGTAAAGTACACGGGTTTTTACCCTGGGAATGATTTCTGAAAAGGAGGGTGCGTATAATGCATGGCTACACTGTTCTTTAACATTTTTTCAGGCCGAATTCCGACAAAGAAAACAAGGTGGTCTGGAGGAAAATATTTAAGTAGCATAAAAGTGATTGTTGTTATGTTTTACATGTATATTTGTACCTTCTTATATCTGATTTATAATGTTATATGCAAATAAAAATCATTTAAATGCTTTAGTACTTGCTTTTTGCATTTTCTTGTGTTTTCCGTTGTTGCCCGGAAGTTGCATTTGATCATGTCCAAATTAGAGATGAAGGATTCTGTCAATAGCCAAATTAGTGTAGGTGTTTCCCGAGTTTATTACTTACTTTGTATATGGTTCTTACAAGGAATACAGAACGTAAATGTATGAAAATTAAATGAAACATGCCCGTTTGATGATAGCGACCGCCATTGTTTTTTTACTTGTAGTATCAGGTCAGGGGTTTATCTGTTTATTTTGGGAAAAAGGACCCTGGATGTATAAAATAACTTATTCAAGTAATATTTTTGTCATTATTTTTAAAGTAACTTTTTATCTCTATACTCCTCTAAAATTTAATAAATTCTTTATTTTATGTAATAAAATGATAAATAAATTCATGAAAACTACATTTGGTTCATGCTTTTATTGAAATATAAAATAACTTTATTGGTAATTTAATCATTTTTAAAAACAAAATTTACCTGTATAAGTAATTAAAAAAAATAACTTGTTTAAGTAATGCCCCTGACTGCCCAAAATTGGGAAAAATGTAGGGTTTTTGACATTGGGAATGTCAGTAACTGCTAGTAGTCTGTTGTTATTTATGTATTATTGTCATTTTGTTTATTTTCTTTTGTTTCCTATTCTGACATCGAACTGGGACTTCTCTTTTTCTGAGTTTTACTGTGCGTATTGTTGTGCGTTTGTTTTTTCTACATTGGCTAGAGGTATAGGGGGATGGTTGAGATCTCAAAAAACATGTTTAACCCCGCCGCATTTTTGCACCTGTCCCAAGTCAGGAGCCTCTGGCCTTTGTTAGTCTTGTATCATTTTTAATTTTAGTTTCCTGTGTATAATTTGGAGTTTAGTATGACATCCATTATCACTGAACTAGTATACATATTTGTTTAGGGGCCAGCTGAAGGACGCCTCCGGGTGCCGGAGACCCATTGGTGGCATTCGGCTGTTGTCTGCTCTATGGTCGGGTTGTTGTCTCTTTGACACATTCCCCATTTCCATTCTCAATTTTACCTACATTATACAGTCCATTACGTAAGTACCTACATTATACAGTCCATTACGTAAGTACCTACATTATACAGTTCATTACATAAGTACCTACAAACTATACAGTTCATTACGTAAGTACCTAAAAACTATACAGTTCATTAAGTAAGTACCTACAAAACATACAGTTCATTACGTAAGTACCTACATTATGCAGTTCATTACGTAAGTACTTACATTATACAGTTCATTACGTAAGTAACTACATTATACAGTTAATTACGTAAGTACCTACAAACTATACAGTTCATTACGTAAGTACCTACATTATACAGTTCATTACGTAAGTACCTACATTATACAGTTCATTAAGTAAGTACCTACATTATACAGTTCATTAAGTAAATTTAATAAATTCTTTATTTTATGTAATAAAATGATAAATAAATTCATGAAAACTACATTTAGTTCATGCTTTTCTTGAAATATAAAATAACTTTATTGGTAATTTAATCATTTTTAAAAACAAAATTTACCGGTATAAGTAATTAAAAAAAATAACTTGTTTAAGTAATGCCCCTGACTTGCCCAAAATTGGGAAAAATAAAGGGGTTTTTGACATTGGGAATGGGTCCGAATACCGGTCCATGTGGAAGGCTAGAAAAATCCATATCATGTGACTTTTAACGGTTGTCCTTAAGTTGAATAAAGTGATGATTTTAAACACGTTTTTACTATGTAACATTTTTTAAAAACCTTCATACAAATCCTAATTGCAGACATGTCAATGACATCTTGTAAACTGTACAAATTTGATTAAGGAATAAAATTAATCTGTCAATTGATTTGATGTAACTCCAACCTGTCAAAACAGGAACACTGAACAAGTATAAGCCAAAAACTAACAATAAAGGGCTACACTGAAGGAGCATGATGTAACTCTATCCTATCAAAACAGGAACACTGAACAAGTTTAAACCAAAAACTAACAATAAAGGGCTACACTGAAGGAGCATGATGTAACTCTATCCTATCAAAACAGGAACACTGAACAAGTTTAAACCAAAAACTAACAATAAAGGGCTACACTGAAGGAGCATGATGTAACTCTATCCTATCAAAACAGGAACACTGAACAAGTATAAACCAAAAACCAACAATAAAGGGCTACACTGAAGGAGCATGATGTAACTCTTTCCTATCAAAACAGGAACACTGAACAAGTATAAACCAAAAATCAACAATAAAGGGCTACACTGAAGGAGTATGGTGCAACTCCAACCTGTCAAAACAGGAACACTGAACAAGTATAAACCAATAAAATAGTGATTTGGTTGATTTCTTCCATAAGAAAATTAGGGTAAAAGAAATTGTGGGGTATTTGTCAATACCACAACCACCTTTTAACAAAATTTACCAGAAGGTATAGGTCAATTATAAAGTAGCATCACAAACAATCAGAAGGCCATCTAGATGTCAACATGCAGCAACAATAAATACATATAGGTGTCTATACATAAGTCTAGCTCTTAATCATCTAATGTTTGAAACATTGGAAATTAATTTAACAGAGAGTGACACAGTGTTTCGCCAAATAAGCCCCACTAAAAATATGAAAAATACAGTATTGTCAGTTAATGTCCATGGTAACCTTCACCTTTCATATCAATTTCAAAGAATGTACATATAACCATTAGGTTACAGTTTGGTTTTTCTTTTTTTAATTAATTTATGACTTACCAATTAATTATTCGTTGAACAAGACTTACAGGTCCTGTCTCCTTCACACCAAGCTGTGAGTAAACAATGTCATACGGATATAATACATCAATGGGAAACTCAACAAAAACAGGACCTGTAAAAGAAAAAAATGTCTGCATGAAACAAACACAGATAAGGTAAACAAAGGTGTAGAAGAAATCACATGGTAATCAAAGGTGTAGAAGACATCTCAGGGTAAACAAAGGTGTAGAAGACATGACAGGGTAAACAAAGGTGTAGAAGACATGACAGGGTAAACAAAGGTGTAGAAGATACCACAGGGTAAACGAAGGTGTAGAAGATACCACAGGGTAAACAAAGGTGTAGAAGATACCACAGGGTAAACAAAGGTGTAGAAGATATCACAGGGAAAACAAAGGTGTAGAAGATATCTCAGGGTAAACAAAGGTGTAGAAGATATCTCAGGGTAAGCAAAAGTGTAGAAGATATCACAAGGTAAACAAAGGTGAAGAAGATACCACAGGGTAAACAAAGGTGTAGAAGATATCACAAGGTAAACAAAGGTGTAGAAGATACCACAGGGTAAACAAAGGTGTAGAAGTTATCACAGGGTAAACAAAGGTGTAGAAGATATCTCAAGGTAAACAAAGGTGTAGAAGATATCACAAGGTAAACAAAGGTGTAGAAGATATCACAAGGTAAACAAAGGTGTAGAAGATATCACAGGGTTATCAAAGGTATAGATAAAGGCAACAGTAGTATACTGCTGTTCAATAGTCATCAATTGATTAAGCGAAAACAAATCCGAGTCACAAACCAAAACCGAGGGAAACACATCAACTATAAGAGGAAAACAATGGAATAACAGAAACACTGAACTGCTACAAAAAGAAACACCAACATACATAGAAACGGACTATTTGATAACAACTGCCATATTCCTGACTTGGTACATAACATCTTAAGAAAAAATGGTGGATTGAACCTGGTTTTATGGCTAGCCAAACTTCCTGCTTATATGGCAATGAAAAAATACCGCTAAAATGACAGAATATATCACAGGGTAAACAAAGGTGAAGAAGATAGCACAGGGTAAACAAAGGTGTAGAAGATAGCACAGGGTAAACAAAGGTGTAGAAGATAGCACAGGGTAAACAAAACCATGTCTAAGATAAACAGGCAACAACATGGATAAAAGATAGATCGTACGGTCTTCAACACAGAGCCTTGGCTCACACCAAACAGCAAGCTATAAAGGGCCCCAAAAATTACTATTGTAAAACCATTCAAAAGGGAAAACCAAGGGTCTTATCTATATAAAAAATGAGAAGCGAGAAACACTTATGAACCACATCAACAAACGACAACTACTGAACATCAACTATTAAACTAAAAAAACGGAAACACACAAATAATCAATAAGCTATTTTTTTCCTTAAAAATTTTACCTACCTTCACATGACTTTTGTTTTCATGTGTCATCAGAGTTACATGTAAGTAAGGATAATTACAGAAGTTCTTAATGTTCACCTGAAAGATTGTTGTAGAAACTTTACCTTGTCTAGTGTGTCAGACCTTCAGGTGTACCTGACAGATTGTCTGGTGTGCCAGACTGCAGCTCTTTTCACAAAAAATCTTAAGAGTAAAAATACTCCTAAGTCATACACATTTCAGTATAGCTTACGATCAATTTTAATCGTAAGATTTTTTGTGTAAAGAGTCGCTAGTCTTTAAATAAATAAGTCTTAAGTGTTGGGACTGTGCCTTACCTAGAGTACCAGAATATGTCTTACTGTAATCTGTCTCTACTGTCAGAATATATTCTTCCTGGTGTGCCAGACTGGGCCTCACTTCAATTTGTTTTCAGTATATGGACTATACCCAGCCTAGTGTTCCAAACTTGACTTGAAAGTTGTATCTAGTAATGATATGAATGCTTACCTGGTGTGCCAGACTGGGCCTCATTTAAAGCAGTTTTCAATGTAGGAACGATATCTCTAACTTTCGTGACAGTAGCACAGTATTTACATAAAGGTTTAAATAAAGACATCTGGTCTATATCCTGTAGTGCACCTCTTCCCTGAAATAAAATTACAAGTTGTTATTTATGTATATCCCGTGGGCACCCCTACCTTTAAACAACACAAATACAAGTCGTTATTAATTGATATCCTGTATGCAACCCCTCCCATGAAACATAAATAGATATACGTAGTACGTACTGTAATTTAAGATATAATTGCATGCATTTATAAATGCAATTTTTGAAGAAAAGACAAAAATGCAACATTAATTATTGCTGTTTCAGGAAAGTCTTCATACAGAGATATGTATCCGATATCAGAATGCTAGTTCTTATTACTGTGATTCTCACCTAGTCACATTATTCCCAATAATAAAATTTCACAATTATTTCTAAATTTACAGTAGTTTGTTATCTATATCCTGTAGGGTAGCCCTCCCCTAAAATAGGAATTCAAGTTATTACTTATCTATATCCTGTAGGGAAGCTCTGCCCTGAAACAGAAATACAAGTAATTTTATCTTTATCCTGTACGGCACCCATCCAATGAAACAGAAATACATATTGTTTTTATCTTTATCCTGTAGGGCACCCCTCCCTTGAAATAGGAATACAAGTTATAATTGATCTATATCCTGTTCGGTAGCCCTGCCCTGAAACAGAAATACAAGTAGATTTTATCAATATCCTGTAAGGCACAACTCCCTTGAAACAGAAATACAAGTTGTATGATCTTTAACAATACAAGTAGTTGATTATCTATATCCTGTAGGCCGCCTCTCCAATGAAACAGAAAAAAATGTAGTTTTTATCTATATCATGTAGGGCACCCCTCTCTATAAAAAGGAATACAAGTTGTTGTTTATCTATATCCTGTAGGGCACCCCTCCCTTCAAATAGTAATACTAGTTGTTATTGATCTATATCCTGTAGGGTAGCCCCGCCCTTAAACAGAAATACAAGTAGTGTTTATCTACATCCTGTAGGGCACCCCTCGATATACATGTTGTTATTGATCTATATCCTGTAGGATAGCCCAGCCCTTAAACAGAAATACAATTAGTTTTTACCTTTATCCTGTAGGGCACCCCTCCCTTAAAATAGAAATACATGTGGTTATTGATCTATATCCTGTAGGGCACCCCTCCCTTAAAATAGGAATACAAGTTGTTATAGATCTGTATCTTGTATGGCACCCCTCCCTTGAAATAGTAATACTAGTTGTTATTAATCTATATCCTGTAGGATAGCCCTGCCCTTAAACAGAAATACAAGTAGTGTTTATCTACATCCTGTAGGGCACCCCTCGATATACATGTTGTTATTGATCTATATCCTGTAGGGTAGCCCAGCCCTTAAACAGAAATAATCGTAGTTTTATCTATATCCTGTACGGCATCCCTCCAATGGAATAGAAATACATGTAGTTTTTATCTATATCCTGTACGGCACCCCTCCCTTGAAATAGAAATACATATTGTTATTGATCTATATCCTGTAGAGTAACCCAGCCCTGATATAGTCCTGTAGAGATGGGTTTTTTCAGAACCTTTCAGAACATACTTTTGCATAGATTCATAGTAATTAATACCCTTTTGTACAAAATTAAATTAAAAGATACTAAGTTATATAGTTTTTGTAAACTTGTTAAAGAAACCATTGAACACATTTTTTTAATGCACAATAACATTTCAATTGTGGAAGTCTTTTTCAAATATTGTAAAACTTGTTTTGTTTTTTGGTAAACTTTGTTCTCAACAAAGAGAATGTGTTTCTTGGGTGCATTTGAATCTGTTAGTCATATTAAAAAGAATTATATCTATAAATGTAAATTAAATGAAACAAAACCAAATGGTTAGGTTATAGAATGGAATAAAAAAAATACCAATTCCTTGAATATCATATTGCAAAGGAAAAAATAAAGTCCAAGTTTGTGAAAAAAATTTTGACTCCTTTAAATGTAATATTTAACTAAATATTGTTGCATATTATCTATTTTTAATTATGTTAAACTAAAATAGTTATATGCTATTAGAGTAAAGTTATGCTTGCCTTCAAAAATAATCATTTTATAAAGTAATCCATGATACACATTGTAGCAAAACAGATGAGTAAAAACTATAAGTATTATCTGAGAGAAAGTTACAGAAAGAGAGATTAATCACATTAAATCTATATGTAACTTTAAATGCTCTTATTGTAAAGATCAATTATTCAGGGATACATATTGTATACTGCAATGTTTTCTATACTCAACCTGTTGATACCCTTGTCAGGTGGTAATGTATTGGGGTATGTGAAATTCTGACTATTAACATCATTAAAAAAGAGGGTCAACACACAAGGAATGGATGTGGAAGACTGAAAGTTTTATAACATTTAAAGGATCATACACAAAAACTATCAAGCGCTACATCAATATACCAGGAATATTTAAAATATCATTGGAGCTTATTAAAGTGTGAGGACTGTAGATATTTACCTTAAGTAGTGTAGCTGCAGCCCCACCTATTAACAATACTGGTGATTCAGCCATCTGGGCATTTTTCACTGCTGTAACTGTGTTTGTCAAACCTGAAATTTAAATTTGAAGAATCATTTCTGCCTCCAAAAAGTTCAATTTCCAATGGGCAATCAAGAGAAATAAGTTAACTACAATGACTGGGCAATCAAGAGATAACATTTAGTTACACTGACTAGGCAATCACGAGATATCATTTAGTTACACTGACTCGGCAATCAAGAGATAACATTTAGTTACACTGACTGGGCAATTAAGAGATAACATTTAGTTACACTGACTGGGCAATCAAGAGATAACATTTAGTTACACTGACTGGGCAATCAAGAGATAACATTAAGTTACACTGAATGGGCAATCAAGAGATAACATTTAGTTACACTGACTGGGCAATCAAGAGATAACATTAAGTTACACTGACCGGGCAATCAAGAGAAATCAGTTAACTACATTGACTGGTCAATCAAGAGATAACATTTAGTTACACTGACTACGCAATCATTAGAAATCAGTTAGCTACACTGACTGGGCACTCAAGAGATAACATTTAGTTACACTGACTGGGCAATCAAGAGAAATCAGTTAACTACATTGACTGGGCAATCAAGAGATAACATTTAGTTACACTGACTGGGCAATCAAAAGATAACATTTAGTTACACTGACTGGTCAATCAAGAGATAACATACAGTTACACTGAATGGGCAATCAAGAGGTAACATTTAGTTACACTGACTGGGCAATCAAAAGATAACATTTAGTTACACTGACTGGGCACTCAAGAGATAACATTTAGTTACACTGACTGGGCAATCAAGAGATATCATTTAGCTACATTGACTGGGCAATCAAGTGATAACATTTAGTTTCACTGATTGGGCACTCAAGAGATAACATTTGGTTACACTGACTGGGCAATCAAGAGATAACATTAAGTTACACTGACTGGCAATCAAGAGAAATCAGTTAACTACATTGACTGGTCATTCAAGAGATAACATTTAGTTACACTGACTACGCAATCATAAGAAATCAGTTAGCTACACTGACTGGACAATCAAGAGATATCATTTAGCTACATTGATTGGGCAGTCAAGAGATAACATTTAGTTACACTGACGGAGCAATCAAGAGATAACATTTGGTTACACTGACTTGGCATTCAAGATATAACATTTGGTTACACTGACTGGGCAATCAGGAGATATCATTTAGTTACACTGACTGGGCAATCAAAAGAAATCATTTAGTTACACTGACTATGCAATCAAAAGAAATCAGTAAGCTACACTGACTGGGCAATCAAGAGATATATATTAGCTACATTGATTGAGCAATCGAGAGATCACATTAAGTTACACTGATTGGGCAATCAAGAGATATCATTTAGCTACATTGACTGGTCAATCAAGAGATAACATTTAGTTACACTGACTACGCAATCATTAGAAATCAGTTAGCTACACTGACTGGGCACTCAAGAGATAACATTTAGTTACACTGACTGGGCAATCAAGAGAAATCAGTTAACTACATTGACTGGGCAATCAAGAGATAACATTTAGTTACACTGACTGGGCAATCAAAAGATAACATTTAGTTACACTGACTGGTCAATCAAGAGATAACATACAGTTACACTGAATGGGCAATCAAGAGGTAACATTTAGTTACACTGACTGGGCAATCAAAAGATAACATTTAGTTACACTGACTGGGCACTCAAGAGATAACATTTAGTTACACTGACTGGGCAATCAAGAGATATCATTTAGCTACATTGACTGGGCAATCAAGTGATAACATTTAGTTTCACTGATTGGGCACTCAAGAGATAACATTTGGTTACACTGACTGGGCAATCAAGAGATAACATTAAGTTACACTGACTGGCAATCAAGAGAAATCAGTTAACTACATTGACTGGTCATTCAAGAGATAACATTTAGTTACACTGACTACGCAATCATAAGAAATCAGTTAGCTACACTGACTGGACAATCAAGAGATATCATTTAGCTACATTGATTGGGCAGTCAAGAGATAACATTTAGTTACACTGACGGAGCAATCAAGAGATAACATTTGGTTACACTGACTTGGCATTCAAGATATAACATTTGGTTACACTGACTGGGCAATCAGGAGATATCATTTAGTTACACTGACTGGGCAATCAAAAGAAATCATTTAGTTACACTGACTATGCAATCAAAAGAAATCAGTAAGCTACACTGACTGGGCAATCAAGAGATATATATTAGCTACATTGATTGAGCAATCGAGAGATCACATTAAGTTACACTGATTGGGCAATCAAGAGATATCATTTAGCTACATTGACTGGGCAATCAAGTGACAACATTTAGTTACACTGACTGGGCAATAAAGAGATAACATTTAGTTACACTGACTGGGCCATAAAAAGATATCATTTAGTTAAACTGACTGGGCAATCGAAAGAAATCATTTAGTTACACTGACTATGCAATCAAAAGAAATCAGTTAGCTACACTGACTGGGCAATCAATAGATATCATTTAGCTACATTGATTGGGCAATCAAGAGATAACATTTAGTTACACTGACTGGGCAATCAAAAGATACCATTGAGTAACACTGATTGGGCACTCAAGAGATAACATTGAGTTACACTGACTGGGCACTCAAGAGATAACATTAAGTTACACTGACAGAGCAATCAAGAGATAATATTTGGTTACACTGACTGGGCACTCAAGAGATAACATTTAGCTACACTGACTTGGCAATCAAGAGATAACATTTAGTTACACTGACAGAGCAATCAAGAGATAACATTGAGTTACACTGACTGGGCACTCAAGAGATAACATTTAGCTACACTGACTTGGCAATCAAGAGATAATATTTGGTTACACTGACTGGGTAATCAAGAGATAACATTTAGTTACACTGACTTGGCAATCAAGAGATAACATTTAGTAACACTGGCGGAGCAATCAAGAGATAACATTTAGTTTCACTGACTGAGCAATCAAGAGATAACATTTAGTTACAATGACTGGGCACTGACAGAGCAATCAAGAGATAACATTGAGTTACACTGACTGGGCACTCAAGAGATAACATTTAGCTACATTGACTTGGCAATCAAGAGATAACATTTAGTTACACTGACTTGGCAATCAAGAGAAAACATTTAGTTACACTCACTGGGCAATCAAGAGATAACATTTAGTTACACTGACTGGGCAATCAAGAGATAATATTTGGTTACACTGACTTGGCAATCAAGAGATAACATTTAGTTACACTGACTGGGCAATCAAGAGATAACATTTAGTTACACTGACTGGGCAATCAAGAGAAATCAGCTAGCTACACTGACTAGACAATCAAGAGATAACATTTAGTTACACTGACCGGGCAATCAAAAGAAATCAGCTAGCTACACTGACTAGACAATCAAGAGATAACATTTAGTTACACTGACCGGGCAATCAAAAGAAATCAGCTAGCTACACTGACTAGACAATCAAGAGATAACATTTGGTTACACTGACTGAGCAATCCAGAGATAACATTTAGTTACACTGACTGAGCAATCCAGAGAAATCATTTATAGTCAGGGGTAGTACAAGTACAAGTCATTATTATTTACTTGAAGATTGAAGTAATTACATACTTGTATAACTAATTTGTAAGATTTATATTTTCTTTTCAAGGTTTGAATAGTCTCCCCTTAGTCTTCTCCAAAAATTTACTTGTATAAGTAGTTTTAGTTTACAATCCCTCAAATTCTCAAGTTTTGGAAGGTAAAAAACATGCCTGAAACAATTTTTCTCTGGTTTGCTAATAATTTTTTGCTGTGACAGTGGACCTAATTTGAATGATCTATCAACATACCTGGACCTGCTGTGACTGATCTATCAACATACCTGGACCTGCTGTAACAGTAGTCCTTATTATACTGATCTATCATCATACCTGGACCCTATTGACAGTGGACCTTGATGCTGTGACCATGGACCTTATAAGACTGATCTATCAACATACCTGGACCCTAATGACAGTGGACCTTATTAGACTGATATATCAACATACCTGGACCTGCTGTGACAGTAGACCTTACTAGACTGATCTATCAACATATCTGGACCTGATGTGACAGGGGACCTTATTAGACAGATCTATCAACATAACTGGACCTGCTGTGACAGTGGACCTCATTAGACTGATCTATCAACATACCTGGACCTGCTGTGATGGTGGACCTTATTGGACAGATCTATCAACATACCTGGACCTGCTGTGACAGTAGACCTTACTAGACTGATCTATCAACATATCTGGACCTGCTGTGACAGTGGACCTCATTAGACTGATCTATCAACATACCTGGACCTGCTGTAACAGTAGATCTTACTAGACTGATCTATCAACATATCTGGACCTGCTGTGACAGTGGACCTTATTAGACTAAACTATCAACATACCTGGACCTGCTGTGATGGTGGACCTTATTAGACAGATTTATCAACATAACTGGACCTGCTGTGACAGTACACCTCATTAGACAAATGTATCAACATACCTGGACCTGCTGTGCCTATGGACCTTATTATAGAGATCTATCAACATACCTGGACCTCCTGTGATGGAGGACCTTATTAGACAGATCTATTAACATAACTGGACCTGCTGTTCCTATGGACCTTATTAGAGAGATTTATCAACATACCTGGACCTGCTGTAATGGTGGATCTTATTATAAAGATCTATCAATCAGTATGTGACACAATAATAAAATAAAATTTATTATTAATGAGATTTATCAACATACCTGGACCTGCTGTGCCTATGGACCTTATTAGAGAGATTTATCAACATACCTGGACCTGCTGTGAAGGTGGACCTCATTAGACAGATCTATCAACATAACTGGACCTGCTGTGCTTATGGACCTTATTAGAGAGATTTATCAACATAACTGGACCTGCTGTGATGGTGGACCTTATTAGACTGATCTATCAACATAACTGGACCTGATGTGACAGTGGACCTCATTAGACAGATCTATCAACATACCTGGACCTGCTGTGACAGTGGACCTCAATAGACTGATCTATCAACATAACTGGACCTGCTGTGATGGTGGACCTTATTAGACAGATCTATCAACATTACTGGACCTGCCGTGGCAGTAGACCTCATTAGACTGATCTATCAACATACTTCGACCTGCTGTGACAGTGGATCTTATTAGACTGATCTATCAACATACCTGGACCTGCTGTGACAGTGGACCTTATTAGACTGATCTATCAACATACCTGGACCTGCTGTGACAGTGGTCCTTACTAGACTGATTATCAACATAACTGGACCTGCTGTGACAGTAGACCTCATTAGACTGATCTATCAACATACCTGGACCTGCTGTGACAGTGGATCTTATTAGACTGATCTATCAACATACCTGGACCTGCTGTGACAGAGGACCCTACTAGACTGATCTATGAACATACCTGGACCTGCTGTGACAGTGGACCTTATTAGACTTATCTATCGACATACCTGGACCTGCTGTGACAAAGGACCCTACTAGACTGATATATCAACATACCTGTACCTGCTGTGACAGTGGACCTTACTAGACTGATTTATCAACATACCTGGACCTGCTGTGACAGAGGACCCTACTAGACTGATCTATCAACATACCTGGACCTGATGTGACAGAGGACCCTACTAGACTGATCTATCAACATACCTGGACCTGCTGTGACAGTGGACCTTATGAGACTGGTCTATCAACATACTTGGACCTGCTGTGACAGAGGACCCTACTAGACTGATCTATCAACATACCTGTACCTGCTGTGACAGTGGACCTTACTAGACTTATTTATCAACATACCTTGACCTGCTGTGACTGATCTATCAACATACCCGGACCTGCTGTGACAGGGGACCTTTTTAGACTGATCTATCAACATACCTGGACCTGCTGTGATTGATCTATCAACATACCTGGACCTGCTGTGACAGCTGCAACACCCACTGTTCCTGACATCCTAGCAACAGCATCCGCAGCAAAAACAGCTGTTACCTAAATCAGTTATGTACTAATTAAACACATATGTAAATCCTATTTCAAAAATTAAACAATTATATAGTGTAGTATCAAACACATGTGTTATACATATTAAACTTAAACATGTATACAATGCACAAATCTTAAATACCTTTAATACATATACTTAACTTCTTACATCTATGTAGTACATATGTCAACCCTTACACCTGTGTAGTACATATGTCAACTCTTACACCTGTGTAGCACATATGTCAACTAAAAAAAATCTATACTAACGATTCCTTCCAACTTACTTCATGTCTAGTATCTATAACTTTCATTCCTAACTTTTCACAAGCCACTAAGATAGGTGAGATGTGTCCTTCAACTGACCTCATGTCTAGTATCTATAACTTTCATTCCTTACTTCTCACAAGCCACTAAGATAGGTGAGATGTGTCCTTCAACTGACCTCATGTCTAGTATCTATAACTTTCATTCCTTTCTTCTCACAAGCCACTAAGATAGGTGAGATGTGTCCTCCAACTTAACTCATGTCTAGTATCTATAACCCTCATTCCTAACTTTTTACAAGCCACTAAGATAGGTGAGATGTGTCCTCCAACTTAACTCATGTCTAATATCTATAACTTTCATTCTTACTTTTCAAAAGTTACTGAGAAAGGTGAGATGTGTCCTCAATTAACATTATGCAATGTCATGTCTAGTAACTAAAGCTTTCATTCCTAACTTTTCACAAGCCACTTAGATAGGTGAGATGTGTCCTCAAACTTACCTCATGTCTAGTATCTATAACTTTCATTCCTAACTTTTCACAAGCCACTTTGATAGGTGAGATGTGTGCTCCAACTTACCTCATGTCTTGTATCTATAACTTTCATTCCTAACTTTTCACAAGCCACTAAGATAGGTGAGATATGTCCTCCAACTAAGGTAAATACATATTTCACTCCATGTGCCTACAAAACAAAATTAAAACATAAAACTTTTAACCAAGTTAACATTTTCAGGTATTTCTAAGAGAGCAATGAAATGTTCTTAGACATACATGTCTCAAGGCTTCACTGATTACATCTACATGATCTAGTCTGATGCATGCAACAGGGCTTCACTGATTACATTTAGTCTTATACATGTCATAATGCTTCACTGATTACATCTAGTCTTATACATGTCTCAAGGCTTCACTGATTACATCTAGTTTTATACATGTAACACGACTTTACTGATTACATTTAGTCTGATACATGTCACAATGCTTCACTGATTACATTTAGTCTTATACATGTCACAAGGCGGCACTGATTACATTTAGTTTGATACATGTCACAGAGCTTCACTGATAACATTTAGTCTGATACATGTCACAATGCTTCACTGATTAAATAAAGTCTTATACATGTCACAGGGCTTTACTTATTACATTTAGTCTCATACATGTCACAAGGCTTCACTTATTACATTAACTCTGATACATGTCACAGGACTTTACTTATTACATTTAGTCTCATACATGTCTCAAGGCTTCACTTATTACATTTAGTCTCATACATGTCTCAAGGATTCACTTATTACATCTAGTCTGATACATCTCACAAAGCTTCACTGATTACATTTAGTCTGATACATGTCACAGAGCTTCACTGATATCATTTAGTCTGATTCATGTCACAAGGCTCCACTGATTACATCAAGTCTGATACATGCCACAGGGCTTCACTGATTACATTTAGTCTTACACATGTTACAAGGCTGCACTGATTACATTTAGTCTTATACATGTCACAAGGTGGCACTGATTACATTTAGTCTGATACATATCACAAGGCTCCACTGATGACATCTAGTCCTATACATGTCACAGGGCTACACTGATTACATCAATTCTTATACATGTCACAAGGCTGCACTGATAACATTTAGTCTGATACATGTCACAAGATGGCATCGATTACATCTAGTCTTATACATGTCAAAAGGCTTCACTGATTACATCAAGTTCTATACATGTCACAATGCTTCACTGATTACATCTAGTCTTATACATGTCACAATGCTTCACTGATTACATTTAGTCTTTTACATGTCAAAAGGCTTCACTGATTACATATAGTCTTATACATGTCACAAGGGTTCACTAATTACATCAAGTCTTATACATGTGATGTTATATTTTTTGTGATCCGCTGAGACTCAATATTTTAGAGTAATTTAAAGTCATAGTTTAAGTCTTTTTCTTTTCTTTTTTTTATCAAACATCTTGTTTTAATTCATTGATCAAAAGCCTCACAATTAGTGTTATACATGTAAGAAGAAGGCACTAATTACATCTAGTCTTATACATGTCACAAGGCTTCACTGATTACATCTAGCTTTATACATGTCACAATGCTTCACTGATTACATCTAGTCTTTTACATGTCACATACTGCTCTGCTTACATTAAGACTTATACATGACACAAGGCTTCACTGATTACATTTGGTCTTTTACATGTCACAATGCTTCATTGATTACATCTAGTCTTATACATGTATGTCACAATGCTTCACTGATTACATCTAGTTTTATACATGTCATAATGCTTCACTGATTACATCTAGTCTTGTACATGTCACAATGCTTCACTGATTACATCTAGTTTTACACATGTCATAATGCTTCACTGATTACATCTAGTTTTATACATTTCACAATGCTTCACTGATAACATTTAGACTTATACATGTCACAAGGCTTCACTGATTACATTTAGTCTTTTACATGTCACAAGGCTTCACTGATTACATCTAGTTTTATACATGTATGTCACAATGCTTCACTGATTACATCTAGTCTTATACATGTCAGAAGGTTTCACTGATTACACAGACTGCCAGATACAGTATACATATATATGTAGTAAAAACAACTTGATAAGATGTGTTGGAATGACACGAATAGCCCTGCTTGCAAAAACAGCTTGAAACATTTTCAGTAGTCATGGTAGTGGAGATTTTCAAATTCAAAAAATTCCAAAAACACCTAAGCAAACTCCAAAAATTCCAAAAACACCTAAGTCAGCAGGGCCATAACAACTCTTTAAGTGCATGCCGCAGATAATAGTTTACTATCTTACTGCATCAGTGGCTAAATTAACTGCTATAAGATAGTGGTTTGATTAACTGATTGTGTGTCCATACCATCCCTCTTGGATATATTGTGGCAGCCAATTTTTATTGGTGGAGAAAGATGGAGCCCAAGTCAAAGACACCTACCACGTGCTGTTCCAACTCACAACCTGAGTGTTGACAGGCTAGTAATCATCCATAGATGAACTACTTAGAACACTCAGCCACCCTTTGATATGATATAGCATATATGAGAGGATACAAGGCAATGAAATGTAGGTTAAGAGTGACCTAATTTGAGCTACTTATTTCATACTACTGATAAAAAAACACTTAGATTTCTGATTGTTGCGCTGAAGATGCACCTATCACAAATCTTACCAATAATGCCATTGAATACTGTAATAAAACTTTCAAATGTCATGTTTTTTAAGTAACTTTACCTTTAAAACTTCTCCAACAATATCTCCACCATTTCTCTTTGTTGTTTTATCAACCTATAAAATATACATGTTTGAAATCTGTTTAAAAGATAAATAAATATACATGTTTGAAATCTGTTTAAAAGATAAATAGATGTACAATACTCTGGTGTGTACAATGGATGTACAATACTCTGGTGTGTACAATAGATGTACAATACTCTGGTGTGTACAATAGATGTACAATACTCTGGTGTGTACAATAGATGTACAATACTCTGGTGTGAACAATAGATGTACAATACTCTGGTGTGTACAAAAGATGTTCAATTATCTGGTGTGTACAATAGATGTACAATACTCTGGTGTGTACAATAGATGTACAATACTCTGGTGTGTACAATAGATGTACAATACTCTGGTGTGTACAATAGATGTACAATACTCTGGTGTGTACAATAGATGTACAATACTCTGGTGTGTACAATATATGTACAATACTCTGGTGTGTATAATAGATGTACAATACTCTGGTGTGTACAATAGATGTACAATACTCTGGTGTGTACAATAGATGTACAATTCTCTGGTGTCCAGGTTCAAATTAGCGGTGGTCCAAGGTCCATGACTTTCCATTTACGGGTTTCGGACCTTACCATGGTAGTTAGTTACACCCGACGGACTTTCGTATTTTTGCAGGTTAAAAAAGTTACAAAAGAATTTTAAACAAAAAATATAAAAATCTAGTTTAAAAATAATCCTAAAATATGCAACTTTACTGAAAGGAAACATGTGTTTCAACTTTGCTTAAATTCTTCACAATTGATGTGATTGTTGTCACGTGACTGGTCGCTGTACACAATACCGGGAAACTCAAGAATATAATATTAAAACATAACTAGTACACGGTATGAGTCTGTTTGGTTTTGGTGTGACCTCTTCCAAAAGAAACCCTGATGAAATAGCGGATACAGCGGGGGTGATTGATGAAACGGCTTAAGGATGTTCACTCCTCTTGTTTTTTTAATTTTTGCCAGATATTCAGAATCCTCTGGCTTTATCCATGTAGTGCTATTTAAAATGTTGCCCACTAACACATTGTAACCCCTACTTTTCTTTCCATAATTTGATTACATATAGTTTAAAATGTCATCTTTGAAAATCTTACAAAATCCTTGTTATTTTTTCATCGTTTTTGAAAGAATAAAGTTGCCAATGTTAAATGTATAAAAAGTCTAGAGATAATTATTTCCCCCCAAATTTTCAATAGCTTATATCTCAAAAACAAGCACACAGACCCTTCATTTGATTCTGCTTTTTTAGTTTCTTTATTTATATACTATCAATTTATAACAGTCTTTTAAAAAGCTTGTTATTTTGAAACAGAGTAGCGAACATCCTTAACACAGCCAGAAAGATGGGATCTGACTAAAGACCAAAAATATGACAGAGAAAAACAAGAACGTATTTTTTCCCATCACACAGTGAAAGGAAAAGTGCCCTAGTTCATTGGACAAAAGATACCTTAAAACTTGACCCCATAAAAAATCATGATGAAAAATTACCACCCAGCATCTATATATCTTGCTAAAAAAATGGTTAAAAGAAACTGACCCTAAGTTTGAAAACGAAGTTGAGCTGTTATCTGACACAAAGTTGGGCCGATGCCAGTGTGTTCTTAAGCAGCAATTGAAACCAAACCAATTAAAAAGGTACAAAGTGTTATTTAACACAGGGTATAGTGTTGGGGAAAAGGGGAAGCCTTTTTCTGACTGAATTTATTTAAGAAATTCAGAGAAAAATGAGGTTAATGTAGTAAGATATGATGAGTGCTTTAAAATGGTAAGCATTTTGTGTTTTTATATATATTGAATTTTCAATAAAAATTGGACCTTCTAAGAATAAAGGAGGACCTTCAAGTATTTTTGGTCAAAGGTCCTCGACCTTCCATAGCCTAAAGTAAATTTGAACCCCTGTTGTATCATGTGTATTGCTGTTCATTTTTTCTGTTTACACCCTTTGCCCTTTAAAAACTGTCTTACAAAAACTCTTTGAGGGGTCCACAGGTGACCTGTTGAAAGGCTAATTCTCTTTCCCTTTACCCTCATTTTCTAGTGGCATTCCAAATTTCCTGCCTTTCATCCCAATTGCTATTACAGGACTTACCTATTGTAGTTATTGTTAATTGGTTACCTCCCTTCATTCCAATTGCTATTACAGGACTTACCTATTGTAGTTATTGTTAATTAGTTCTGGCCCTTCATTCTTTTTGCTATTACATGACTTACCTATTGTAGTTATTGTTAATTGGTTACCTCCCTTCATTCCAATTGCTATTACAGGACTTACCTATTGTAGTTATTGTTAATTAGTTTTCGCCCTTCATTCCAATTGCTATTACAGGGCTTACCTATTGTAGTTATTGTTAATTAGTTTTAGCCCTTCATTTCAATTGCTATTACAGGACTTACCTATTGTAGTTATTGTTAATTAGTTTTAGCCCTTCATTCCAATTGCTATTACAGGACTTACCTAGATTGCAGTTATTGTTAATTAGTTCTGGCCCTTCATTCTTTTTGCTATTACAGGACTTACCTATTGTAGTTATTGTTAATTAGTTCCCGCCCTTCATCAGTCAGGGGACTTACTTAAACGAGTGATTTTCTAAATCACTGATTCAAGTAACATTATGTCCATAAAGGTTGGAAGTAAGAGTTGTCTTTCTTTAATAATCACCTATTTAAGTACAAATTAATCACTAGACCAAGTGATTTAATTTTATTGTAGCTTTAATTATAGAATACTAATGATCCAGGGACTAATTATGTTGCTAAAATTATCAGAACCAACATCTGTGTTGATACGATGACCGGGTCATGTCAGGTGATGACCTTGTACTAAATCTAGGATAATGACATGAAAATCACATGTTTAAGTATCATACCTCAATTTCCTTCCAAAAAATCACTTCTTTAAGTATCATTATTTTAATAACCCCCACTAATTTCAACACCCAAGAACAGTGAAATTTTGATGGCAAACAGTAGAATTTTATTACATAATCTATAAGATGAAACCTTGAATTTTACAGGAAAAATACTCCCACTGCTGGGAAAAATCTGTTAAGAAAGTATCAGTTCATTATGTAAAGCCATTTTTATAGCATTTTTTCAACTAAAATAGAATTTTCAGCTAAATGATTGCATCAAAGGCATAAACCTTGCTGCTTAAAAGAAGCAAAAAATTTATTTTTTTCAATTTTACTAATGAAAAGATATTATCTAAACCTTTGTGTTTAAAATTTTGGTAAAACTACAAAATCACAATTTGTGACAAAACTTCGAATTTGCTACTGAAATAAGTGATTTAAAAATCACTTATTTCAATAAGTCCCCTGACTGTTCATTCCAATTGCTGTTACAGGACTTACCTATTGTAGTTATTGTTAATTAGTTCTCGCCCTTCATTCCAATTGCTATTACAGGACTTACCTATTGTAGTTATATTGTTAATTAGTTCCTTCCCTTCATTCCGATTGCTATTACAGGACTTACCTAAATAAATCTGTCACTCCAATGATATTATATGCTAAGATATAACCCAGATCTAATTAATAATTATTAATGTAATTAACTTCAAAATGTCTAATAATATAGCTTATAATCATTACCACTTAGGAAATAGATAATTTTCAAATAAATCTGTCACTCCAATTTTTATTGTGAGATAAGACATTATGCTTAGTCATAAAAAAGATAACAAGAGTAAAATATTTAAAAATTCCACTTTTGGATATTCAAAATGGCGATAACTCACAAAGGAGATATACTAATATCTTGAAAATTGAACAAGACCTTCATTTATTCCCAGGAAACAACATATTTAAATTTGAAAAAAATTTGTTAAAGCGTTTTCATGTTATTGTGGTGACACTGTTTGGCAGCCGCCCGTAGATCCGCCCAGCCGCCCGCCGTACATCACCATTTTAATAACTGATATTTCCTTCGAAAATCCGGTTAATAATTAAATTGGTGTATAATTTTTTAAAAATTTCAAATATTTATCATGTTTATCGTGTTTATGTTGGATTGCTGCTACCAAGTAATTATTTTTCTTTGATTTGCATTGAAGTGAACATGAATGCATTTAATATAAAACAACTGAAGACCAAGTGATCTGTATCATCAAGGTGTTTATCTTTATTGACGCATTGTAACAATCATTCAAAACTCATATTTTTACAGACAGTTGACACTTGAAGACTCTTAACATTATGTCATAGTCATGCATATCATTTATTTCTTAATACTGTTATTTTAAAGAGCAGAAATATTAATATGTATATTTCTAAATAGGGCAAACAAACTCAGCATGCTCAGGGGAACTGATTATGGGTGATGGACAAAGGGCGAACAGTCCCCATACCCTAAGGTAGTGTTGTAGAACTGGAGATATAAAGATAGTGTAACAGGTTGAGGTAGGGAAGATCTTTTTTGGTGCAGTCGGTTACATCTTGAGATTTAGGTTTCAAATCCCACTGATCCCATTTGATTTAATTGTTCTCTTATGTTGTCAGGACAATACAGACCTGACTGCTTATGGGGGAAAAGGATGGTTCACTTTGCATTGAGGATCATCATGATCATACAGTGAGCTTTAATTTGGTATCTGTTTGTCTGCTGTATACACGTGAATGTGGACTGTATGCGTATCATTTCCAATATCTGTTCCTTTCTTTTTCATATAACATGTATAAATGGGGTCTTGCTGTGATGATTCTTTGACCAAATATTATAATATGTGACCTTTCACATCCAGCCACAAAATGCATTACATGTTCGTGCATGTATGTATTTAGACATTCTCTGTATCAACTTTGACACAGAGATCAGGAATGGAATCTAAAATTAATTGTTCAAACTGGACTGTCAGGTTATCGGACTACATCTAAATATCAGACCTATTGGCCGAAAATGTATTGAAAAGTCGGACTATAGTTGGAATTTTGGGTTTGTTGGATTATAGCTACGCTCCCACAAGCAACTACTGCTGGCATGCTGTTAAATTGATTGAGTCAGGATGTATGACAGCCGGTCAGTAGGGATGATAGACATCATTGAACTGGCCATAGGATTTCTGGGTGAAAGACTTGGGGGTTCAGTAGGAAATCTGTAAGCTTTTCAGATGGATGGTATGCAGCCATAAAAAGAGAATGGGATGTGTTGTTTATCTGGAGATATAAAGATATTAAGAACTATAGGAAAGATGTTCTTTGGCTCTGTCTATTAGAGCACTGCCTTTAGATCCCTAGATTGAGGATTTGAATCCTACTGGTACCATCTACATCTACATAATACTTCTTAACTTCAATATGTTGAAGATTACAAGAAGGCACATACTACAGTCAGGGGTACTACTTGTACAAGTTATTTTTATTTACTTGAAGAAGTAAATAATAATATACTTATATAAGTGAATTTGTTATATTCATATTTTCTTATAAAGTTTGAATAATCTCCCCTAAATTTTCTCAAAAAATTTACTTGCATAAGTAATTTTTTTTTACAATCCTTAAAATTCTCAAGTTTTGGGATGTAAAAACATGCCTTAATCAATTTTTCTCTGGTTAGCTCATAATTTATTATTAGAGTTCAATGTTTCATCTCATTAATTCAGCAGAGAAACTAATTGCACAAAGATCTTAAGTAATTGCACAAGGCCTTCAAAAATTGCCCCTTGGAGGCTTGTAAATGAGCAGTATTTTGAAGATAACAGACAAATGAGATTTTCATTGTCCATGAAATTACACTTCAATAACTAGTAAAGACATCTGCAAAGGACAGACAATTAAAAATTCTATTGGAGCAAAGAAGTCCTGAGAAATTCAAGAAAAGAAGATAGTATGACTTTTTTACTTTTACAAGTAAAAAAAAACTGAATGTCTAAGGGACATAACTAAGCCATTAAAATAATTTACGTATACAAGTAAATAAAATACACTTGTATAAGTATCTTACAATTTTACTTATATAAGTATATCAATATTTACTTCTTCAAGTAAATAAAAATGACTTGTACAAGATGTACCCCTGACTGTACCAGGGAAAAATTAGCAATCTGAACATATTTACAATAATTTCAGAGGAGGGACAACACTCTGCACACTGCATGCAGATTTGTCTTATATTATCAATCGGTCGCAGTGATAATGTGTCATTTATTACAAGCAGTTCGTGGCATGAACATCATCTGGACAATCAAAATTGTTGACTGAGATTTTAAATATAATCAATTATTTACAGTTGTAATGGTTATACAATATACTTTCATGTACACATAATAAAAGATTTTGGTTATTGTCATTATTTGTCGGGAATATACATATTTGTCATACTTATCCCCGTATTAAACTGCTTAATATCCCCAAGGGCTTATTTCATATGTCATGGACATTAATAGAATTCATTTGATTGATTTTAAGGTTTTATTTGGGACCAAATTTTATTTATTACAAAATTATAAGAATGGTACTCATTCTTCATTTATCTGTAGAGAACAAATAATCCGACCAATACACAAATTATACACAATTGTAAAAAGCTATTTTATTACATGGTTTTTCCGGTAAAACATTGCCAGGTCTTAAATATATTCAATATACACAAAAAAGCAGTAATTATGTCAAAGGTTATGTATTTACTCACGTATTAACAAAAACTTGTGCCTTGTATTTTTATAGACTTTGAATAAAATTCCCGCCATTATATCTTCAAAGATACAATTTACCAACCAGCCAACAAAAAGTAAAAAATACATTATTTTTTTTATGTAAAAGTTATTTTCTATCATCATGATCATCAATAAATCTTTCTCTGTGAGAACTTGCTATATTTCCATGAATTTAGTGGAGTACATTTGATTTTAAAACACGTACAAATCAATCTTTTACAATATTTAAAATTATGAAACGGAAACTGAAATCATACCACGTGACATGAAAAGTTTTGCACACGGCACCTAGACTGTCGTCCCTCCTCTACCATGTCTACAATAATTTCAAAACATTTTTTTTTTATTTAGATAAAAACATGATTTTGATCTCGCAATATATAGGGTACCCTATGTGATTTTGCACCAGACTTAAATGAATCTAAGTCTGGGCTACAGGCTACTTGGTATATAGTAAGGAATTCCACAACCTTATTGTTCTGGGAAAAAATTAATATAAATGGTCATCTATGTTTTTTCCATATTTACTAGCCAGTTAGTAGCACCTGCCTCCAATATACATGATATACATGATATTAGCCCAAATAGTGATGACGACTTGATATACTCATAATAATTAATATATAAATGAAATAAATAAATTTGCCTTGTTAAACAATTGGTAAATTATGCCAAATTTTCTTAAAACAAACAGAGCTCCAAATGCTGCCGCTGACACACTGAATGGAAGAATATAATTCTTTAAAACTCTCGAATATGTGTCTGAGTCTGTGCTCCCCATGGTGGACTTTAAACCTGTATCATTTGATGGATAAATCTAGAGAGACTCCTTTGTTATATTGTTGTCTCTGAGGACCATTTGAAGTACAGCTTAATCCCAATCAACTGGATATAATGTATGTAGACCAGGCGCGTACGGTTACGTCAAAACGCCCGAGCGTACACATAAATTTAGATCTTAAAAGAACTGGATAAAAGCGAAATAGCCTTGTATTTTTTTCTTCTTCTTCTTCTAGTGTTTATCAATCCCCCTATTTGCAGGGTCACCGCATTAGAGAACAAAGGTAAAATGATAAGGCACTGGCTACAGTTACATGGAAATGTAACAATAATATAAAAATTATTGTTACATTAGAGACTAATTGCCGGAATGCAGGGTTGGGTGGGGAACCGATTAATTACGAATGTAACAATAATATTTGGGTCTACGGTTACATTGCGTTATTGTTACATTAACGCGCTGCAATGTACGATGGGAATAGTAATAAATACGTATAAAAATAAAACTTGAAAACTTTTATTTGATATTTACAATATTGCATACAATATTTTGATTTTTTATTTACAATGACATTTTCTACAAATCCAGTATGTTGTTTTTGGAGCATGTTTTATCCGACGCATTTTCGGTGAAACCACTCTAAACAGCCATCACAAACCAGTGATACGGCAATGTGCACGCTCTATATTGCATACCGTACAATTCCATTCTGCATTTTCCCTTTATGAAGTTTAAGAAACTTTCAATGTCTGAATGCCATGCTTCAGGTGAAAAATATTTTGTTACTCTTGCGATGTTTACATTTTCGTCCAATATTTTTTTTGGAAGCATGTTAGGTTGTTTAAATACAAGTCAATTGTGAAAGCAATTAATGTTGACATTTGCCGACAGATTGAAATTGGTGGACAGTGTTTTCATTTTCAGAGTCCAGATATTTTGTGATCTTATCAGTCGTGACAGTACATGCTCTATTGAACAGTTCATTAAGTATTCATCAATAGTGATATTGAACTAAACTGTAGTAGTCATGATTTTTAACAACACCAAAACAATCAATACTTATTCGCTGAATAATATTACATATCGAAGAATTAAGCAACATAACTATAGAAGGTTTAAGTTTAATAAATCTTTTATACATTGCAATCTTTAATGTAACAATAACGCAATGTAACCGTAGACCCAAATATTATTGTTACAGTCGTATTTAATCGGTTCCTTACCCAACCCTGCATTCCGGCAATTAGTCTCCAATGTAACAATAATTTTTATATTATTGTTACATTTCCATGTAACCGTAGCCAGTGCCAAATGATAAAAGGAGAGAGAACCTGTTTTTAAACTGCACACATCCTTCTTCTTCTTCTTCTTCTCTGGATCTTTACGCCCTTTGTAGGGTAATCATACGTTCGTATGTCGAACAGTTCCACCACCAAAAATATACAAAATAATGAAAATTAAAAATCACAACACAAAAACATTATATACACTATTTACATCGGGAAGTTTAAAGTTTTTATGACTTTTTACATGGGAAGTTTACAGTTTTTATTACTTTTTACATGGGAAGTTTAAAGTTTTTATGACTTTTTACATGGGAACTTTCAAGTTTTTATGACTTTTTACATGGGGAGTTTACAGTTTTTATGACTTTTGACATGGGAAGTTTAAAGTTTTTATGACTTTTTACATTGGAATGTTTAAAGTTTTAGGTCTTCTGATTTTAAATTTAGTATATTTATACGGATTAGAAAAATTCACCTATATATTTTTAAGATAATTCGCAAAACAAATATTTACTGTGAACTATAAGAATTCACCTATATATTTTTAAAGATAATTCGCCAAAAAATTAGTCACTGTGAGTTATGAGAGTTAATAGAAGAATTATGCTTTCAAAAATATTTCTATATATAATTCGCAAAAAAATTATTTACTGTGAACTATAAGACTTAATAGAAAAATTATGCTATCAAAAGTATAATTAAGTACATTATCAATTATTTATTCAATTATTCATTGCTGCCCCTCCCATCCCTGCACCCACTCTCAGACATCCTATTTCCTTGCTTGGTCTTTCATCACCAGTTGATATCGTGCATTGTGTATGAGAAACACTAGTCTTCTTGCTTGAAATTCTATTTTAGACATCAGGTCGGATGTGATTCTATATCTCTTTTGTATTTTAGTTATGTCCATCAATACTTGTATTGTTATTTCACTTGTAAGTTCTTCTTCATGAAATGCATGTCTATCCTGTCTATCAGTGATGATTTCAAAAGCACAAAGCATCCTGAAAATTTAACACATTACGTTTCTATGTAACATTTTTTCTACGAACTAATTTCAATCGGCGTACATGAAATGCATGTCTGCCCTGTTACTGGTACTAGATCAACCGTTAAAGTGTTTCTTCCTATTAATAAAGACCTCTTCAGTGATGATTTCAAAAGCACAAAGCATCCTGAAAATTTAACACATTACGTTTCTATGTAACATTTTTTCTACGAACTAATTTCAATCGGCGTACATGAAATGCATGTCTACCCTGTTACTGGTACTAGATCAACCGTTAAAGTGTTTCTTCCTATGAATAAAGACCTCTTCAGTGATGATTTCAAAAGCACAAAGCCTCCTGAAAATTTAACACATTACGTTTCTATGTAACATTTTTTCTACGAACTAATTTCAATCGGCGTACATGAAATGCATGTCTACCCTGTTACTGGTACTAGATCAACCGTTAAAGTGTTTCTTCCTATTAATAAAGACCTCTTCAGTGATGATTTCAAAAGCACAAAGCATCCTGAAAATTTAACACATTACGTTTCTATGTAACATTTTTTCTACGAACTAATTTCAATCGGCGTCCATGAAATGCATGTCTACCCTGTTACTGGTACTAGATCAACCGTTAAAGTGTTTCTTCCTATGAATAAAGACCTCTTCAGTGATGATTTCAAAAGCACAAAGCATCCTGAAAATTTAACACATTACGTTTCTATGTAACATTTTTTCTACGAACTAATTTCAATCGGCGTACATGAAATGCATGTCTACCCTGTTACTGGTACTAGATCAACCGTTAAAGTGTTTCTTCCTATTAATAAAGACCTCTTCAGTGATGATTTCAAAAGCACAAAGCATCCTGAAAATTTAACACATTACGTTTCTATGTAACATTTTTTCTACGAACTAATTTCAATCGGCGTACATGAAATGCATGTCTACCCTGTTACTGGTACTAGATCAACCGTTAAAGTGTTTCTTCCTATGAATAAAGACCTCTTCAGTGATGATTTCAAAAGCACAAAGCATACTGAAAATTTAACACATTACGTTTTATTGGCTCAAGTTAGACAGATACATATACAGATACAGTGGGTACCCTTTTATCATGTCTATGCTGTTTTGAAAATAACCCGTATAAACGTTACTCTTAACAATCTGTTCGTGCGCTGGTGTTTAAGCTATTTCTACGGGATTAAGATATAACTTCAAGTGAATGGTTCAATAAAGGTTCAAGTTGAAACTGACTCATCATAACATTGTTCCGAAAGGTATAATCCGGTTATCGTCACAAGCTGTCAAAGAAAATATTATCTTTTTAAGATTTTATCTGTTCGCTCATCTTAGACGAAATTGGAAATTAATTAGACGATTATTCTGTGTTCTTCATCAGAACGTGTTACACGTTTACCCTTACATTTTTTCTCTGCATCAGACGTCTAGACAGGAGGTTTGTAAAAGTTTTGAAATATTTATTCTGTTCTGGAAATTTGTTACCAACTACCTCACCTCAAACAGGTGCCTTTTACTCTTACAGATCTATTATTTACACCTACATGTACATGACCTAAAGCAGGTACAATGAAAAGAAGACATATTTGCCTTTAAGAATTTGTTACAATTTTGAAAATGTCTCACCTTTAATGGTACATGTAGTCACTTCAAAAGCTAACCAAACCTTTAAGCAGACTTATTCAGAAGGGATATAGTTACAATACTGTTGTCAATTCATTAAGGATTGCATATTTTGGTATTAATTAAGAGATAACTGTATTGTATTTGAAGCTTTGCGGGCGTCCATCGGTAGTTTTACTGTCGCAAAATTAGTTTACCTGGCGACGTGTAGCGGAGACAGGAAAACGGGTATTTGCGACAGTAAAACTACCGATGGACGTCCGCAAAGCTTCAAATACAATACAGTTATCTCTATTCTAATGCAAAACAAGTACATAATTCAATTTCAATCATTATTTCAGCATGTTCAGTGTAAAATTTTCATTAAAGAAAATTCCGCAAAAAGATGTTATCTTCTTTGGCCCCTAAACTAGGTGACGTCATAGGTATGCTTCTGGCTTCAAAGGTAAACACCGGGCGTTTTCTGGCTTCTTGACTGCTTCAGAATGTAATAAAATTTGATAAAAAGAAGATTTCTAGGTGCAACATGTGAGTTTTTTGCTTATTATTGTAGAAATTACATGTCAATACATTCCGCAATTCAAAATGTCGGCTTCCTTAGTTGCAGACAAGGAGATAGAGAATTTTACGCTTACTGTCATCCAATCAGAACCATTGATACAAAGTAGTTGCATTAGAATATTGATTCACTCATAGGGTCTTTGCATCGGAAATAAACACATTTATTCTAAAACCAGTTGTTGGCATGATACGGGTTATGTTCTTCTCATATATGTTATGATGGTATGATACTAAACCCCTAACGGGAGGGACTGTACTTGATATTCATATGATGAAGACATAATCTTTCAATCAGTTTAAGGTTCATCATAACAAATGAACAAAAATGGCTGTGTTTAGACCTCAAAAACTACTCTGAGTACAGACTAACCTGTGCAGTTTGAAGAGTTTTAAGGCCTGGCATCCACTAGATGTATAAAAGTTAAATCATTTTTTGTTTCAGAAAGATAAAATCCTTTTTGGATTTTGATGAGCATTTTTTTTTTGGTTCCTGCAGAAGGTGTAAAAATAAACTAAGTTGGGATACAACTTTGAGATGTTCCCTCTCAGGTAAAAACTGTATTGTATTGTATTGATTGTCCTTGATTGGCATGGACAATAGACAGACAATAGATATCTACACAACTATAGGTGAGTTAAAGGGTGTAACTGAGTGGACAGTATCAAAAGCAATTCAAGCGTTTGTTTATTTTTACACCTTCTGCATGTGTTCTGCAGGAACAGAAAAAAATGCCCATCAAAATCCAAAAAAGATTTTATCTTTCTGAAACACAAAATGCATTTAACTTTTATATATCTAGTGGATGCCAGGCCTTAAAACTTTTCCAACTTCACAGGTGAGTCTGTACTCCGAGTAGTTTTTGAGGTGTAAATACAGCCATTTTTGTCCATTTGTTATGATGAACCTTAATTGAGGTCTGGAGCTGGCATGTCAGTAACTGCTAGTAGTCCTTTGTTAATTTATATATCATTGTCATTTTGCTTAGTTTCTTTTGTTACCTATATAGCTATCTGACATCGGACTCGGACTTCTTTTAAACTGAGTTTTACTGTTTGTATCGCTGTGTGTTTCTTTATTCTACATTGGCTAGAGGTATAGGGGGAGGGTTGAGATCTCACAAAACATGTTTAACCCCGCCGCATTTTTGCGCCTGTCCCAAGTCAGGAGCCTCTGGCCTTTGTTAGTCTTGTATGTTTTTTAATTTTAGTTCATTTATATGTTTTGGAGTTTAGTATGACGTCCATTTTCACTGAACTAGTACACATTTTTATTTAGGGGCCAGCTGAGGACCACCTCCGGGTGCAGGATTTTCTCGCTGCGTTGAAGACCCATTGGTGGTCTTCGGCTGTTGTCTGTTCTTTGGCCGTGTTGTTGTCTCTTTGACATATTCCCCATTTCCATTCTCAATTTTATGGTAGTTATAGATCCACATAATTCACCAAAAAAAATTTGCCGTAAGTATTTCAACAAACTGATTTTCTAGTGCCATTTAAAGCAGTCAGAGCTAAGACATAATTCCTTTTTTTCTGACTTATATTGTATGACATATCCAACTATCGCAGTTATCACGTGACTTTTACAATTCAGTTGTATATCATTAATGGCCGATTGATTATCAATGAAAATGAACAGGCTACATAGATTAAACGATCATAACTTTTTTGTTACATTGTGTATTTTACCTTCCAACCCCGTGTTTTAGAGTATTTTTATTTTTGTCGAGCCTGCGACGTTTGTCGCAGAAAGCTCGACATACATGACATAGGGATAGTGATCCGGCGGCAGCGTTAGCTAACTTCTTAAAAGGTTTATATTTTAGAAGCTAAAAGACCTGGATGCTTCATACTTTGTATATAGATGCCTTATGTTACGAAGTTTCTGTCTGTCATATGTCCATTGTCCTTGACCTCATTTTCATGGTTCAGTGACTATATGAAAAAAAAGTCAACTTTTTTTGTAATGTTAATTTCTTTCTTATTATGAGTAATATGATAACTATATTTAGTATGTGCGTACCTTGCTAGGTCCTCATGCCCGTCAGACAATTTTCATGGATCGTGAACAAGGTTAAGTTTTCGTGGTCAAGTCCATATCAGATACTATAAGCAGTAGGTCTACTATATTTGGTATATGGAATGATTGTAAGGTGTACATGTCCAACTGGTAGGTGTCATCTGACCTTGACCCCATTTTCATGGTTCAGTGGTCAAAGTTAAGTTTTTGAGTTTTGGTCTTTTTTTCTAATACTATATGCAATAGGTCAACTATATTTGGTGTATGGAAATATTTTATGATGTACATGTCAGTCTCGTAGGTTTTATTTGACCTTGACCTCATTTTCACGATTCATTTCTCAGTGTTAAGTTTTTGGGTTTTGGTCTGTTTCTTAGAAACTATAAGCAATAGGTCAACTATGTTTGGTTTATTGAATGATTGTAATGTGTACATGTATTTCTGGTTTGGTTTATCTGACCTTGACCTCATTTTCTTGGATCATGTTAAGTTTATGTGTAACTTGTAGTAAAGCTTTATATTTAGGACTATCAACATAAAATCAATGGTTAGTGAAGAAGTCGAGACATTTCAGCGTGTGCACTCTTGTTACAATTAAAAATGTTTTAAGTTTCAGTTTAGAAATATGATTTCTTGCATTGCTTCAAATTAAGTTTGAAAATTGAGGTGAAATAACCACACGGCCTCCGTTGACTTCTTCGTTAAAACGATAAAATTGCAATGGGACCTTCTTATATAATCAATTTTCTCAACTTATTTATTTTTAATAATATCCTTCCAACCCCTAAAAAGATCGACAACACATTCATTTAAATGAAATCGAAAACCAAATCAGTTTAGGTAACAAACTTTTTGCTTCAAAATTTTATTGAAAAGTTCACATTTTGGCATTCGTTAGCAATATTTTGAAAATGGCGGCCGCTGTCGGAAGTAAACAACGACACGACATGTATTCATTTAGTTATGAATTAAAAAGTAATATTTGAAATATTTATTAAAGTGTGTCTTATTGATTTTAAGAAAATTCTTATTTCACATTTACTTTAATATATTTATTAGAAACAGTCGCTATAGCACTCAAAATAAAGATTTATATGCATCTGTTTACATTGACAGCATAGGCCGACATGTGAAAATATATTTTGTAAGATTTTTACGATTAAAATCAAATAACAGTTGGATGCATGCGTTTTCAGTCATTGTCTTATCTTAAAGCAGCATAAAGTGAAACATTGTTTCTTTTTGCAGATAAAGTGGATACTTGCTGTTTGTTTTGATAAAATTTCGAAGTTACGTAAAAAATGGCGACCAAATAATTTTCAAACGTAGACGATGTTCGACACTAGTTTTGCCCATGCAAATAATTCAATTTAATTTCAATGTTTATATTGCAATGAAATACATGAAATATGACACGTTATTATCACTCTAATAATATCCAAGGGTATAGCTACTGTCCCTCTGGTATCTTTCGTCCCTCTTTTTTAGATTAAGGAGATATTAAGTCATCAATGTGATCAAAGTAAACAAACATGGCACCTAATCACGATGTAAGTTTTGACAAGACCTACATGACCTATGTAGATTAGTATTGTCATGATTGTCCGATTCTTTATAAAATTATTTTATATTAATAAAAGAAAACCTCAAATGGATGTTAACCGAAGTGAAATATCTATATTTTTCAATTTTCTAAAACCAGTAAATTTTTTCGTAATCCTAATTAAACCAGTTTCATGCAGAGTTATCGAACGTAATTATGACTGGAATAGTTGCATATGTAAATCATGTAAATCATGTAAATAGTAGTCAAATTATGTTTTATGATAAAAATTTGTTTAAGATTATGGACTTGTCGAACTCAGAAAATGACAGACTTGTTTAACAGAATGGAAACACTTTATTTTACTTTGTGGCCAAAGTTCATCACAATATAAAAACTTTTCTGAGAATTTACATGAAACTGAGCTTTCTCAAAGTAATGTCTATACTAATGATCTGAATGAAGGTCGTTTTTTTCTTCCAATGTAAGTTATTTTTCAGTTTAAGTGGTTTTAAATGGTTGCAGTAGAAAAAAAATAAGATCGTCTCTGTTTTTTTAGGCTCTCACTCATAAATTATTCTTCATAAAACAATAAGCAGTGCCTGACAATGTCTCAATTTCATGTTGATGCTTGACCTTTTTATATTTGTACATGGGTCTTTAAGTAAGTCAAAAATGTAAGTCAATTTAGGTATCTTAGGAAGTCAATTGTAACATTATTTTGATTCATCCCAAATATTCTTTGCTTATATCATGTATATTGAATTCCTATTTTGTTTTAAAGTAAAAGTATGAAAAGGGAGACAACCCAAGAAAACATACAAATTCAGACCTATAATCATGAGTCAAAAATAAAATTAGACTTACTTATGTCTGACCTCTTTGCCAATTACCAACTTGTTTCTTTTACTACACACTTTTAACACAATTTACTTCCCTTTCTCAATCATGGACTGGTTCAATACCCGACAAAATTGGATGCTGCCAACCCAAAGCATGATACATGATAAGTTGAAAGTGATATATATATCAGCTTTTAAATCAAATTTTAGTGAATACTAACTTTTAGTATCAAAAGTTTTTAAGTTAACAAAAAATTAGATGTAATTAAAAGATTTGTAAAACTTAAAGGTCACTCATTATGCACAGACAAATACCCTTTATCCGCTAGCTCACAATTTCAATGAAAACTTATGTACATGTACCTTGTACATGTTGTAAAGGAAAAAACTGAAAAAAAAATCTCTTTCAATCCCCTAAAGGAGTTATTGCCCTTTAAAGACAATTTTACACAATTTGTTCATCATGTTTGCAAACTTTTAAACATTTTCTCCTCGAAAAACTACTGGGCCTAATACTTCTAAACATTAACTGAATGTTTCTTAGGGTAACTGGTTTATGAATTGTATCCGAAGTTTTGATCCATTAACAAAAATGGCCGCCATGGCTAAAAATAGAACATAGGGGTCAAATGCAGTTTTTGGCTTTTATCTCAAAAACTATAGCAGTTAGAGCAAAAGTGACATGGAGTTAAAGTGATGAATAAATCAATATTTATCTGCAATGAAATTTTCAGACCAATTTGACCACCTATTGTAGGGTTACTGTCCGAAATAGTTTATATTAATGAAATTTTACTGTTTTTGATTATTATCTTTAATATTATGATAGATAGAGAGAAAGTGTAACTGTCAAAAATGTTCAGCTAAGTAAGATCTACAAATAAGTCAACATGATCAAAATAGTCAATTGACTCCTTGAGGAGTTATTGCCCTTGAAACTTTTATTTATTACATTTTTTTGTGCAAGTCTATTACTTTTTCAAAAATCTTCTCCTCTTAAACTACTGGGTCAAATACTTCCAAACTTTAACTGAATGTTCCTTAGGGTATCTAGTTTATAAATTGTATCCAAAGTTTTGATCGATCAACAAACATGGCCGCCATGGCTAAAAATATAACATAGGGGACAAAAGCAGTTTTTGGCTTATATCTCAAAAACTACAGCAGTAAGCTTAAGAGCAAAAGTGAATTGGAGTTAGAGTGATAAATGGGTCATGATCTATCTGTTATGAAATTTACAGATGAGTTCGACAACCCATTGTTGGGTTACTGTATTATTTTTATTAAATTTTACTGTTTTTGGTTATTTTCTTTAATATTTTAATAGATAGAGAGAAAGTATGAATGGCAATAAATGTTCAGCTAAGTAAGATCTACAAATAAGTCAACATGATCAAAGTAGTCAATTAACCCCTTGAGGAGTTATTGCCCTTAAACATGTTAAAACGTTTTTTTTTTTACATTTTTTGTGAAGGTCTAATTACTTTTTCAAACATCTTCTTCATCAAATACTTAAAAACTTTAATTGAATTTTCCTTAGGGTATCAAGTTTATAGATTGTATTCATGGTATTTGGGGATTTGATCCATTCAAAAACATGGCGTCAGTTTCTAAAAATAGAACATAGTGGTCAAATGAAGTTTTTGGCTTTCATCTCAAAAACTAAAGCAGTAAGAGCAAAATTGACTAAGGTGAAAGTGTTAAACAGGTTTAGATCTACCTATCAAGTTATCTTCAGACCAATAGGACAACTTATTGTTGGATTACTGTCCAGAAATAGTTAATTTTTAAGAAATTTTACAGTTTTGGGTTATGTGTTACCTTTAATATTATTATAGAAAGAGAGAAAGTGTAAATGACAAAATTGTTCAGCAACGTATATATCTGTAGTAAACTGGTATTAATCAATCTTTTCTATTTTTCAAGGAAGAGAAGTGAGAATGGAAGATGAAGATTTAATCTATGATCAGACGTTGTTACTGAGGAAGGAAACGAAACCATCAGGATATTCAAAATGGTGTCAGAAGTTTACTAAAACAACATGTCTTTCCCTAGCTTTCTTCACTCTAGTAAGATATGTATTGTAATACATTGTATGTGTGTCACACTAAATACCTATATAATAAGGTAACACAATTTTAAAGACCATGCTACATGTACATTTACCTGTGTTAATCATGTTGAATAGATTTTATAATTCAATGTATTATAAATGAGGTGTTTTAATTTTTTGGAAAAATGATCTTTATCAAATTCTATGGCCATGATGGTGTTACTTGAAAATACCGGGGAAAACCTTTTATCATGAAAACTACAAGATTGACACAAATTTTCATAAATGATTATCAAAACATGATAAAATAATTGGAGTTATTGCCCTTTAATTGTTACTTTTCTTAACTCATTTTTTAGCTCACCTGGCCTTAAATTTAACCAAACTTGGCCACAATAATCATTAGTAGGGTATCTTTGAAAAATGTGTCCGATGACCCTGCCTGCCAACCAAGATGGCCGACATGGCTAAAGAAAGAACAATAGGGGTAAAATGCAACTTTTGTCAATATTTCAAAAACTGTTATGAATAGAGAAAATCTAACAGGGCAAAAAATGACCAGAATGTTGAGCTCTACCAATTGTCCATCTGGGGACTTGTTAAAGGAGTTATTGCCAACTTACCATTTTTTCATTTTTGCCTATTATCTGAAAAACTTAAATAGATACAGAGTAAAAGTGCAAAAATGATCAGCAAGACAAGATCTACAAATAAGTTTGCATGGTTGAAATCGTCAGTCGACTCCTTGTTAGAGTTATTGTCCTTTGATGACCATTTTTTTTCCATTTTTTTACGTTTTTACCTTATATCTTTAAAATTATAATAGATAGATATATAGACAAGATCTACAATTAAGACAATATGGAGGAAATCGTCCGACGTCTCCTAATTGGAGTTATTGCCCTGTTATAAAATTGAGAATGGAAATGGAGAATATGTCAAAGAGACAACAACCCGGCCAAGGAGCAGATAATGACTTTTTTTACAATTTTTTTTGTGTCTTGCCTTATACATGTATGTATGATAAAAATGAAAATAGATAAATAGAAACTCAAAATAGCCAAAATTTCAGCAAGGCAAGATCTACAAAAGTAAAATTTTGCTGATATAGTGAGTAGACTGTCACTCTTTATAAGACTTCACCTCCTCCTTAAATGAGGATTTTTATGCCCTCGCCGTAGCGGAGATTGCATTAAGTTTTATCCTTGTCGATCATCCGTTCGTCCCTCTCTGTACGTCCCAAAGTTGGTTTCCGTTCTCTAACTTTAGTTTGCCTCAACCAAATGTTATGAAACTTATACACAATGCTTATTACCACAAAATACAGACCAAGTTTGAATTTTGGTGGTGTCACTTTAACCGTTCTAGAGTTATGCCCCTTTACAAAATGAAAAATTGCTGAATTTTTCGTTTCCGTTGTCTAACTTAAGTTTGCCTCTATCAAATGTTATGAAACTTATACACAATGCTTATTACCACAAAATACAGATCAAGTTTGATTTTTGATGGTGTCATATTTACTGTTCTAGAGTTATGCCCCTTTACAAAAGGAAAATTGCTCAATATTTCGTTTCCGTTTGCTAACTGAAGTTTGCCTCAACCAAATGTTATGAAACTTATACACAATACTTATTACTACAAAACTCAGATTAATAACAAATTTGGGTAGCGTCACTTTTACCGTTCTTCAGTTATGTCCCTTAATAACTTTATATGATATGCAAGCAGGGGCATCATCTGTGTCCCATGGACACATTCCCCATTTATTTTAACCTCTTTTGTGTTGTATATTGGTATCACATCGTCGTCTTCGTCATCTGAAGACATTTGGTTTCCAGACAATAACTTTAGTATTAGTAAATAAAAACCTATGGAATTTAAATATAAGGTTTATAACCACAAAAGGAAGGTTGGGATTGATTTTGGGGGTTATGGTCCCAACAGTTTAGGAATTAGGGGCCAAAGGGGTCCCAAATAAGCATTTTTCTAGTTTCATGACAATAACTTGTGGAACAGTGTATGGATCTCTCTGAAATTATACGACAAGTTTCCATACCACAAAGGGATGGTTAGGATTGGCTTTGGGGGGTTTTGGCTCAAACCGTTTAGGAATTAGGGGCAAAAAAGTGAGAAAAAACAAGGGTGTCCTGATTAATGAACAATTACTTAAGTACAATTTACAGTGTAAGGGAGGTGATTCAAGCACAACTTTGAATTACCTCCCTTACACTGCTTTTAAATTATGTATAAAGAATTTGTGTATTGTCTTGAGGTGATTAGCTGTCAATTCATTTTTAGAAGTTACTATTTTAATCATTTTAAAAATGCTGATTAAGGTAAATTAATTTTAGCTATGATTATGTATGTCATTTTCTATTTTAAGACTTTTATGATGTAAATGGGTTATTATGGTTGCAACGTCCATTGGAAATTAGAAATGAAATTATGACCATGACTGAGGGAAAGAATTTTTTTTTTTGAAAAAGGGGGGGGGGGGGGGTAAAAAAAAATTGGTGGTGGGTGGGGGGGGGGGGGAATATTTTTTCTCCTCAAGATTTCAGAAATCAAAAAGAAAATCCTTCAAATTTTTTTTTTTGAAAAAAAAGGGAGGGGGAGGTCAAATCGCAACAGCATAGTGTACAGGGGCGTAGCTACCTTCTTAATGAAGTGGAATCACAAACTACAGGGCGAAATAAAACTTGAACATTTTTGTTGTGGTTTTTTGGTCACCTATTTGTTTAACTTCGAGTCGAATGAAGACTTAACATTGTCGCTTGCGTTTTTTGTACGTGAAAGCTTTTAAAATCACGGAGATTTGTTCCATATCCTCGTATTTGTATTGAGCAAAGTAGATTTAAAAAAACAAACAATAAACATAAACACAATACTATATGTGGAGTTTCTGTTAGCATAAACATCATGGATACCAAATACTTGGTTGACACATTCTCATATATTTTGCTTAATATATGTATTTAGATGTTTAAAAATTTTGTGGGTAAACTCTACAAGAGAGAGATGGGAATTTCGAATTTTACGTAGTTAGGAATATTCGAAGTTGAAATTAATGAACTTTTTCAGAGTAAATGGTACTTTGATCACGATCTTTTTCATGATCTGCGTTTTTAATTAGCCAGCTAATTAACAAATGCATATGCATTCGACCAGTTGTATGGCAATATCTAGATGATAACAGTGAAGATACGTGTAATAAAAGTTTGGTGTATCTTTCGAACAAGAATCAGCAGTTTAGTGTCCTACTCGGACAGACAGTTCTTTTTAAAATTAAATGACCTAATAGTCCAGTAAAACGAGTTAGAATTAACAATTTATTTAAATGGTTTTACATTCAACCATTCGTATAGTCGGCCCATATAGAAACGACTTCGAATTATCCGCGGAATCTATTTAAAAGATTTTTTTTTGTAAAATAGATAAAAACGTAAAATATGTACTGGAAAATGTGTACTTTTTTTTATAATAACAGCAGTTCCAACTTCTCATCTACTAGTATACAGAAACTTTTGATTGATTGAATGGTTATTAATGTAAGGTAGCAAATAGTACATGCACACAGGACAAGATACGTTGACGTGATGTGAAAATGAACTACTCGTGTTTTCAAGACCTACATACTTAGTCAATATTGAACTAGTTCACAAGGTAACAGTCATTATTCCCGGATCGATACGAGTTGAAGATTCTTCATTCTAGTAAGATGTGTGCTTTGGGGCGAAGCGGAAAATAATAAGTTTTTTTGTTAAACCCAAAGGGATTATGTTTTTTTTTGCACTCAAATCAAGTACTGTGGATTCATTTATTTTTCGTGGGTACCAATTTTCGTGGATTCAGAAAAACTTACACTTTCGTGGATATTTAATTTCGTGGTTTTACCAAAGTCTGCATACAGGCCAATGGTAAATTTAAAATTCGTTGAACATTTAAATTTGTGGTTCACCTGTACCCACGAAATCCACGAAAATTGGTATCCAACGAAAAATAATGAATCCACAGTATACGGTATGGTTGTGAAAACAACGTGGATGCACGTGCTGCCGTGCCTCCGGGTAGCTACACCCCTGGTGTATTGCACAAAAGCAAAAAATTGAATATAAATTCAAATCATATAACCAATTCTAAGTTCTTTGACTACAGTTATTCTGTGTCAGAAACCTATTATGTGTCAAATATTGAATTACAATCCAAATTCTGACCTGTATCAAGCGCAAATATTGTGTCCATTTTTGCCCCAACTGTTCAGGGTTGGACCTCTGCGGTCGTATCCACCTGCACTCGGCGAAGCAATTTATTTTTGAAGTTAGGCCTACATGAAACATGGGTTAAACCCAGTTTATGATGCAAAATGAGTTTACCTAGTTATGCGTAGTGGAGCTAGGTTATATTTACGACAAGTTTTATGTAAGTCAAGCTTCAAATACAATACAGATATCTCTATTCTAATGCAAAAAAGGCAAATCAGTTTAACATGTTTAATCATAGTTTTTGTCTCGCCTTGATGGAGTCAAAAAGCGAGACATAGGTATGCTGTTTCCGGCGTCAACAATGTCAGTCAGGGGTACTACTTGTACAAGTAATTTTTATTTACTTGAAGAAGTAAATATTAATATACTTATATAAGTAAATTTGTAGGATACTTATACAAGTGTATTTTATTTACTTGTATAGGTAAATTATTTTTTGGCCTAATTATGTCCCTTAGACATTCAGATTTTTTTACTTATACAAGTAAAAAAGTCATCCTATCTTCTTTTCTTGAATTCTTAGAACTTCTTTGCTCTAACACAATTTTCAATTGTCTGCCCTTTGCAGATGTCTTTACTAATCATTTAAGTGTAATTTCATGGACAATGAAAATCTCATTTGTCTGTTATCTTCCGAACACTGCTCATTTACAAGCCCCTAAGGAGCAATTTTTGAAGGCCTTGCGCAAATACTTAAGATCTTTGCTCAATCAGTTTCTTTGTTGAATTAATGAGATGAAACATTGAACTCTTATCAAAAATTATGAGCTAACCTGAGAAAAATTGTTAAAGACATGATTTTACATCTCAAAACTTGAGAATTTTTGTGGATTGTAAAAAAAATTTACTTATACAAGTAAATTTTTGAGAAAATTAAGGGGAGATTATTCAAACATTATAATTAACTTATCTAAGTATATTTTATTTACTTCTTCAAGTAAATAAAGATAACTTGTACAAGTAGTACCCCTGACTGAATGTATTAGTTTGTGATTAGGTCTAGTTCATGGTGAACCACTAGTGGTAGGTCAATGATATTTGGTATGCAGTTGTATTAGCATTGGCACATCTCATTACCATGGAGATTATTTGGCCCCGCCCCCTCAGTCAAGGTCTATTGACTTCGAAACTTTTCATAGTTTACATGTATTAGTTTGTGATTAGGTCAATTTATGGTGAACAACTAGTGGTGGGTCAATGATATTTGGTATGCAGTTGTATAAGCATTGGCATATCTCATTTCCATGGAGATTATTTGGCTCCGTCCACTTAGTCATGGTCTATAGACTTTGAAAATTTTGCTAAGTTAACATGTATTTGTTTGTGATTAGGTCAGTTCAAGGGGAACCATTAGTGGTAGGCCAATGTTAATTGGTGTTCAGTTGTATAAGCATTAGCACATCTCATTTCCATGGAGAATATTTGGCCCCGCCTCCTCAGTCATGGTCTATTTACTTTGAAACTTTTGCTTAGTTTACATGTATTAGTTTGTGATTAAATCAGTTTAAGATGAACTGCTAATGTTAAGTCAATGATATTTGGTATGCAAATTTATTGGCATTTGCAAGTATCGTTTCCATGGAGATTATATAGCCCCACTCCTGATCATGGTTCATTGACTTTGAAACTTTTACATAGTGTACAAGTTAATGTTTGTGTTTAGGTTTGTTTAAAGGGAACGACTTATGATAAGTCAATGGTATTTGGTATGCAGTTGTATTAGCATTGGCACATCTCACTCCATGGAGATTGTTTAGCCATGTACCTTCAGTCATGGTTCATTGACTTTGAATATTTGCATAACTTACATGTTAAAGTATTGCTATTTAAATTTCAACATTTGCATTATAAAAATTACAAAAAGGCGAGACATATCTCTGTGATAACAGTTTATGTTGTAAAATTTTCATAAAACAAAAGTTCTGCAAAACGTTGTCAACTAAACAAGATGATGCTATACATGTAGGTAGGTTTCCTGCATCAACTGTAAACAATAGGTGTTTTAAGGCTTCATACATATGTATGCCCCAGAATGTAATAAAATTTGACAATAAGAAGATTTTTGTCAATTTTTAAAGCAATCATTAAAGATCACATGTCAATACATTCCAGAATTCAAAATGTCGGCTTCTTTGGTTACAGACAGGTAGATAGACAATTTTACACTGGTTGTCATCAAATCAGAACCATTAATACAAAATAATTGCTTTAGAATTATTTATTTAGATGTAGTTTTCATTTTTTTTAATTCATTTTGCCAAAGATATTTTCTATTCCCCCGGCTTTATTAAATGGTTGGTATATAATATAGTGATGGGAGTCCAATTGTCTGTCTGTTCAATCAGTTGCCTTACTTTCCCTGCTTTGTATCCGCATCTGCTCCTGATCATGAACTGCTTGAAAAATAATGTAAAACTATCACATAAACTTTCACAAATGATGTACTTTTATACCTGATTCATTTTTTCAACTGAATAGTTAATGGGGTTTCCTTTAGCAAAGCATGAACAGGGTGTATATTTTTTGCTTGCAGTACTTCTAATTAATTGTACATTTAATCCTTTTTATTTTGTATTTTTAGGGATTATGTATTGCAATACCAGGACCAACATTACTGGATCTGGGAGACAAAATAAACACAGACACCACTCATATGGCACTGATATTCTCTGCCAGGTCTGTTGGTTACTTACTGGGAGCACTAATTGGTGGTTTCCTGTTTGATATCCTTGACAAACAGCTGTTGCTAACGGCAACCTTGTTTGTTGCTGCTGTGGCAACATTGATTATACCCTGGGCAGTGACATTAATGGTATTGGCAGTCATGTTTTCTTTGCAAGGTGTGGCTATGGGTGTGCTGGACACAGGTAAACTTTGGTGTAGAAGTTGTATTATGAAATCTGCCAAATGTTGATGTTTGTATGTCTTGTCTTTGATCCAGGAGGCTGGAGGCAAAGTGTGATCATATTTGTCACAAGACAAGATATAAATGCTATTTTTCCAACCTCAGTCATCTAAAATTTAAATTTTCTGATCAAATCCATTTGAGAAAAAGTACTAGATATACATTATTCATGCTTAATTAACAATTTCACATGTGTTCATGGCTTAACATATTGGTTTTTCTCCCCTTATTGCTATAGGGATGCACTATTTTAAAAATTGCTTCTATTAGTTGAGACGTTACTGAAATATTTTAATTTTTTTGGCCAAAGTCAAATTAGAATTTTTTTTTATCTCTAATCTCTACTGCATTTGTAATGAAAGTTTCCTCTAGTAAACCAGCTGGATTTTAAAGAATAGGAATTTGATAACAACACCCGGTGATGATTGTGATTTGATAACAACACACGGTTATGATTGTGTTTTGATCACTACACATGGATATGGTTGTAACTTGTTCACAACACTTGGCTAAAGTTGTAACTTGTTTACAACACATGGCTATTGTTGTTAACTTGTTCACAACACATGGCTATTGTTGTTAACTTGTTTACAACACATTGCTATTCTTGTTAACTTGTTCACAACAAATGGCCATTGTTGTTAACTTGTTCACAACACTTGGCTAAAGTTCTAACTTGTTTACAACACATGGCTATTGTTGTTAACTTGTTCACAACACATGGCTATTGTTGTTAACTTGTTTACAACACATTGCTTTTGTTGTTAACTTGTTCACAACACATGGACATTGTTGTTAACTTGTTCACAACACTTGGCTAAAGTTGTAACTTGTTTACAACACATGGCTATTGTTGTTAACTTGTTTACAACACACGGCCAAGGTTGTAACTTGTTCACAACACATGGCTATTGTTGTTAACTTGAAAATGATTGTAATTTGATACTTACAATGGATTCTTTGAAGAGTTAAATGTCAACAGATTAAGTGCTGCACTTTTCATTAATGTAACACCCTAATCATAAAGTTGATTTTTATTTTTAAACCACATTTTTCGGGGTGAATTTGATGTACATACTCAAGTTATAGTGCAAAAATAAGAAGACGTGGTATGATTGCAAATGAGACATAAATCCACCAGAAACCAAATGATATAGAAATAAGAAGATGTGGTATGATTGCCAATGAGACAAGTATTCACTTAGGGCTAAATAACTTGGACATGTTGGTAGCAGTCCTTTTCTGGTTATTTCTTTCTTGAGATAAACATAAGATAACTGATAATACTAAATGTTTATTTCAAAAGCTTCTCTTGCAACCATTATTGACATTCTGGAGTCAGAATCTTTTGACTTGTGTGTCCGAGCTCTGACTGTCAAAAGTTGTCATTTAAAATCCATTTTAAAGTACTGCAAAATTTTATTAATATGTAACCATTCATTTAAGTATCATTCCTTATTTTAAATTTGTGTTTATTGTTTTGCAGGGGGAAATGTATTCTGTGTACGACTTTGGGGAGTTAAAAGTCCACCGTACATGCAGGCATTACACTTTGCCTTTGGTATAGGAGCATTCATTGCTCCACTGATAGCCCAGCCATTTCTGTCAAACTCCACATCTAATAGTCTTCTTAATGGAAATGTACCTGTAATAACAAATACAAGTCTCTTAATAAATTATCATAATGACTCTGATAGTGGCCGAGGTAAGAGGGATTCATCATTCACTAATCAGACATTGGAAAATAACATGACATTTACAACAGACAATTTTAATGTGAGTCTGGGAACAACAATGATTACAACAACAACAACTGTCAAACCAAATATTGTTAAAAAGCCTTCAATCACAGATGGAGGTTTATTACCTGATAACACTAGGGATGGAAGTCAAATCAGACAGCATTTAGACAACAATAAGCCATTAGATGATGGAAAAACTAAAACAAAACGACCATTGTCTTCCCTGACAGTTCCATTACAAAATAAAACAGAGGGTAAAAGATTGGAGAATAATGGAACAAAACAGCTGATGACTGAGAATAATGGAACAGAACAGCTAATGACTGAGAATAATGGCACTATGTTTCATAATGAAAGTTTGCATGTCAATGGTTCTTCATTGTCCAATATAACAACCATTTCCACAACCAGGTCCACTACTACAACAACCACACCCACCACGAAGACAACCACATCCACCACGGCAACAACCTCACCCACCATGAAGACAACCACATCTACCACGACAAAACCCACAACTACAACAACCACAACGACGACACCCACAACTACAACAACCACAACGATGACACCCACAGCCACAACAACCACAATGACGACACCCAAAACCACAACGACAACACCCACAACTACAACAACCACCAGGACAACAACAACAAGGTCCACCAAAACAACAATACTTCCTTCAACTAAGGGAAAAACTTCACCAGCTGAAACAGAAAATCCAAAGACAATCACAACTTCCATGAAGAAATCTAAACCAACAACACTGTCCAGTTTGATAGAGGACCATACAGAATTTAATGAATCATTAACAACAACTAGTCACAAACCACAAACAGTAGGTGATTTTGTCAGTTCTATGATAGATTCTGTCAAAAACATGTCTCGTATACAGTTTGCATACACTATAATAGCACTGTTGTTATTTGTAAGTTCAACACTTTTTCTGGTGTTGTATTGCTTCACCAAACGCAAGAGGGACAATGAAGAAATGGACGATTTAAATGAAATTTCAATGCATACAGAGAACACTTGCATTCGTTTAGTGACATTAATGTTTTCATTTGTTTTCTTTTTGTGTTATGTTGGCATGGAAACAACATTTGGAGGTTTGGTCATGACATTTGCTGTAGAATTCGCCCATTGGACAAAGTCCCAAGGTGCTATAGTGACTTCCATATTTTGGGGATCCCTTGCAATGGGGAGAGGATTTGCTATATTTATATCAAACTGCTGTAAGCCTCGAACAATGCTGATAGTTGATCTTATATTCATGATGATTGGTGCTTTGATTTTAGCATTTGGAGTTCAGAAGCTGAATATACTGTTATGGCTAGGTACTATATTCTTAGGAATAGGACTTTCATCCATTTTTCCAACCAGTGTCACATGGATTGAACAATATTTCAAAATTACTGGTAAATCTACCGCAGTGTTTGTAACCGGTTCAGCCATTGGTCAAATGACATTGCCAGTGGCAACTGGGTATTTATACCAAAACTATGACAAGCAGTACTTAATGTACATTATTTTGTGTTTGAGTGTTTTGACAGTCATTTTATATATTATAATGCAGTGTTTAGCCAGTAAAGCTAGTAAGACTGTGTCTAGTGGATTTTTACGCTTGGATGATTTGGATATGGACACTCCAGCCTACAGTTCTACAGATGAATCTTCCAGTCGCAAATTTATGCCAGTACACAATGGGTATGATTTGTTAATGCAGGATGCAGATGACGAATTGTAGCATTTGTGAATAGAACTACTAATGTATAATAGTAATATAATTAACCATTATTACTGCAGGATGATAAATTGTATCATTATTGTATAGGACCACTAATGTAGTAATTAATTTCTTCCATTCCTCTGTCCATATCTTAAAGTTGAATATGTGCAAATGCTCATCATGCTCATAGTGGCTTGTTTCAAAATGGGATATTTTCACAGATGTGGTTAAATTTTAGGGGTACAAAGTGAGATTAAATTTTTCTCAAATTAGGAAATCCTATATATAGGTAAAAAGTCCATATTTGCAAACAATTAAAATCTCTGGAAGATCTGTTATTTACAAATATTTAATATTTTAAAAGTTTTTACATCTGTATTGTACATGCAGTCTTTTCCTTTTCAATAAAACACAAATGTTAAGCTCAGTCAATTTCTAATTACAGTATATACGTATAGTTCCTCAGTTTGAGGCGCACTTAAGGTTTATTGACCCAAATGTTGTTGAAAGTAAGACAACTTTTGAATTAGAAATATTTTGTTTGTTATTCCAGAGCTATATGATTTTAACAAACAGATTTAAGACTATTCTATACATGTCACTCACTAGCTCGCCTCTGCTGAATCTAAATTAATTAGCTTTTAAAAACAAATATCACATTAAAACAAATACACATTCATTAAATATGTATCTATGAACATATTACAAATTTCTAGTTTGAAATGTATATTGATATATAATGTAGTATTTTGAAATCCACCAGAACAAACATGAACTATCTGTGATTTTTTTGTTGTACATGACTGTGATGTTTATGATGATTAGTTAAAGTACATAAGATATACATATACTATATATTTGTGTGAGCCTGTATAACGTCAATCCATTATCCTGCTTCAGTTGTATTGCCTCCTTACCTACCTCCCCTGTTAAGATCTGTTAGGTAACATATTCTGGGAATCTTTCAATCAGTAAAATTGTATTATAAAGCATGGACTATTCCATATCTATTTATAAGAAGACTTTGTCATCAGAAACTTTTCTTTATATGAGTAAAAGCATAGAAAGTTCATTACTACAGAACAATGACACTGCTTTATTTCCCAAAATTATTTGAGGGTTTACTGTAATAAAACATTGACATTTCCATGTCAGTATACAGATGATATATTGTCAGTGAAGGGTGCAAATTTAAGTCAAGTCAAGTTTCTTATAAGGCAAAAAATAACAAAAATTTTGTGCATGTCACAGATTGAAATGTAGAAATATTTATGTAACATATACAACAAGTTTTATTTAAAAACTAGAATACTTTTTTGTTACAAAGTTAGAGTATTTAACACACTATGACATGCTCTTTTTTCTATCAAAGTTAGAGTATTTAACACAGTATGACATGCTCTTATTTTTGTCGAGCCTGCGACTTTTGTCGCAAAAGCGAGACATAGCGATCCTACATTCCATAGTCGGTGTCGTCGGCAGCGGCGGGTCCACAATTATTCACTCTGTAAAGTTTTTGAAATTTTAATAACTTTCTTAAACTATCCTTGATTTCTACCAAACTTGGACAGAAACTTGTTTATGATCATTAGATGAGTATCCAGAAGTAAATTTTGTAAAAAAAAAAATCCTATTTATCCGCATTTTACCTATAAATGGACTTATTTTTCTGCCAGTTAGCAATACATTCACTCTGTGGTTACAGTTTTAAAAAATTTTAATAACTTTCTTAAACTATCCTGGATTTGTACCAACGTTGGACAGAAGCTTGTTTATGATCAAAAGCTAGTATCTATGGAAGAAAATTTTGTAAAAATTTATTTCCTGTTTTCCGTATATTATAAATGGACTTAGTTTTTCTTCCAGTTAACATTACATACAGTCTGTGGTTAAAGTTTTTTAAAACATTTATTAGATTCATAAACCATCCTAGATTTTTACCAAACTTGGATAGAAGCTTTTAACAATCAAAAGATAGTATATAGAGAAATTTTTAATAAATTTTTTTTGTCGAGCCTGCGACTAACAGCAAAAGTAGGCGAGACACTGAGTTCCGCAGAACCCTTACAAATTTTTATCATATTGTTGTGAAAATTACAAGCTGCAAGAAGAAAAACAGTTGTTTCCCTTTTTATGGTTTTGTTCATATTATTAAGATCTATTAATGAGATTATTTTGAACATTAATGAAAAAAAAAGTTATTTATAAAGAGGAGATAATCTAGGGCGGGAGGTGGGAGAAGGGTACCCCCTTGTCCACCCCCTCAGCCTTTGTAGTCTTATGGTAGTGTTCTAGTCTTCATTAATTCCCACCTTATTTAAACCATAGATATTTGATATTTATTGTATGGTCATGTAAGAGCTATAACATGTGTCTTTTTGTTGACTGAACCTAGACAGTCAGGTAGTGTCAGTTTACTACAAAGTTTGTATATCAGGATCAAAATATGGTATTGTCCTCAATAGGCATATGCTATTTATCATCAAATAATTCAACAATGAAGTATACTAGTCTAAATGGTCTGGCTACCTGACCTTTGTCCAGTTGGCGCAACTTTTCTAAACAGGTCTATATTGATGTATTTCCCTCAGTTTTAGTTTTTAACCAGGATTTGTTTTCTCTCAATCGATTTATGACTTTTGAATAGTGATATACTATTGTTGGCTTTATTTATCTATAAAGATAAATTAATTAGTCATTGGTTTATGGGGAGAATGTGTTATATGACGGCTGTTTGGAGTTAGTACTAGTAGGTATATATGAGGGTCTCTTGTGATGTATTGGTCTAGATAGTAACACTACCTGATGGAAAGCATATTTATTATCAATGTGAAGAGAAAATGTAATATTTGACAACAAGGTTGCAACCATACCAAAATTATAAATCGCAATAGTTTATAATGTAAAAAAAAATGTTCTGAAAGCCATAATACTTTTAGTACACAGAATTTGTTGTATTTTTATTAGTAGTACTTAAAGGTATTGTTTATTTTTGTGTATTTTTTAGTTTGTTTTGTGTGTAACTGTATCTGATGTATTATTATGAAATACTCCGACTGACTCATTGTATTATTGTTTGTTGGATAGAATACTCCTATAATTATGATGACGATTGTGATGATTGTAAGTCAGTCATTGTATACTGGTATCAATAAAATCAATATTTGATATATTTGTCTTGTCACCCAATGATAAGGTAAAAATTGTTTATTGAAAAAGTGCAACTTTTATTTTTTACCCTTACTATATAAATGCACATAAAACAGATACAACTGTTTAACAGAAGTCTAATGCAAGTATGGTTATTAAAATTGTTCATTAAGATAAAAAAAAACAATTTTATAACCATGCATACCTTTGTCTATATTTATACTTGTGATTTAATCATTGAGTAACAAACAATAGAAAATAGCTTCTCTTTTTTATTATATATTTTAAAATATTATGAAGTGATTCATGAATTATTCTTCTAATTAAGGTGGTACCAAACACCTTGACTAAGATTAATTTGGCTCGTTTCATTTTCATAAAATTTTGACAAAATATTTAGTTTGACCCTTTGACAAAAATATAAAAATTTCAATAAACTTGAACCTCACACTTTTATGTAGCAGTTTGACAAACACTGATTTTGATCATTGAGAAGCTTAATATTTCCTTAACAATAGAACGTGATTAAAACATTTAGCTGATTTTTACAGCTTTATCTCCCTGTAGTGTTATGTACCACCTTAAGGAAATGGATATACAATTGTAACAATTGCATTTTTATGCCCCACCTAGGAGGATTATGTTTTTCGGTCTGTGCATCCATTTGTTCGTCCGTCCATTCATTCATTCGTTCGTCTGTCCGTCTGTCCTGCTTCAGCTTAAAGTTTTTGGTCAAGGTAGTTTTTATACGACCGCAAAAATTAAAAATTTTTTGGTCGTATATTGGTATGACGTTGGCGTCGTCGTCGTCCGAAGACACATTGGTTTTCGCACTCTAACTTTAGTTTAAGTGAATGGATCTCCAAAAAATTTTACCATAAGGTTCAATACCACGAAAGGAAGGTTGGGATTGATTTTGGGGGTTATGGTACCAACAGTTAAGGAATTAGGGGCCAAAAAGGGGCCAAAAATAAGCATTTTTGTAACTTCCAGACAATAACTTGTGTGTAAGTGTATGGATCTCTCTGACATTGTACCACAAGGTTCCATATCACAAAGGGAAGGCTGTAATTGATTTAGGGGGTAATTGCCTCAAAATTTTAGGAATTAGGGGCCAAAAAAGGGGCAAAAAACAAGCATTTTTCTAGTTTCATGACAATAACTTGTGTGTAAGTGTTTGGATATTTCTGAAATTGTACTACAAGGTTCCATATCACAAAGGGAAAGCTGGAATTGAGTTTGGGGGTAATTGCCCGAAACGTTTAGGAATTGGGGGCCAAAAAGGGGCCAAAAATAAGCATTTTTCTAGTTTCCAGACAATAACTTGTGTTCAAGTGTATGGATCTCTCTGAAATTTTACTGCAAGGTACCATACCACAAAGGGAAGGCTGGGATTGAGTTTGGGGGTGATGAATCATAAGGGGGTTCAAAAAATTTGGGGGGGGGGGGGGGTTTTCTTTTTTTTTCTTTTTTTCATTTTTTTTTTCTTTTAAAATTTTCCATTTTAAGTTGGTTATTTCTGATTTATATTTAAAAGCAAATAATAATGATATGGTAGGAGATACACACCAAACAGGATGTGTAAATTATTATATAATAAGTATTGTGCAATAGCAAGAAATTTTCAATTGCATTGCACAATAGCAAGAAATCTTCAATTGCACAGTATTGCGCAATAGCAAGAAATCTTCAATTGCACAGTATTGCGCAATAGCAAGAAATATCCAATAGCACAATATTGCGCAATAGCAAGAAATTGTCAATTGTACAGTATTGCGCAATAGCAAGAAATATTCAATTGCACAGTATTGTGCAAAAGAAGATACTTCGTATAAATTGCTTATTTCTTGATCAATTTCAATGGGGTTTTATTCTTGAATTCTTGGGGTTCTTTAATATGCTGAATCTAACCGTGTATTAGGTTTTTGGATTTTTGGCCCCGTTTTTAAATTGGTCCACATTGAGGTCCAAAGGGTCCAAAATTTAACTTTGTTTGATTTCATCAAAAATTGAATTATTGGGGTTCTTTGATATGCCGAATCTAATCGTGTATTTAGATTCTTAATTTTTGGTTCCGTTTTCAAATTGGTCTACATTAAGGTCCAAAGGGTCCAAAATTAAAATTAGTTTGATTTTAACAAAAATTGAATTTTTAGGGTTCTTTGATATGCTGAATCTAAACATGTATTTAGATTTTTGATTATGGGCCCAGTTTTCAAGTTGGTCCAAATCGGGGTCCAAAATTAAACTTTGTTTGATTTCAACAAAAATTGAATATACGGGGTTCTTTGATATGCTGAATCTAACCATGTATTTAGATTTTTGATTTTTGGGCCCCGTTATCAACTTTGTCCACATTGAGGCCAAAAGGGTCCAAAATTAAACTTTGTTTGATTTCATCAAAAATTGAATTCTTGGGGTTCTTTGATATGCTGAATCTAACCATGTATTTAGATTTTGGATATTTGACCATAATAGGTGAATGTCCAATTTAAAATTTTTAAGTTCTTAGACCACATTCATTTTGTGTCAGAAACCTATGCTGTGTCAAATATTTAATCACAATCCAAATTCAGAGCTGTATCAAGCTTGAATGTTGTGTCCATACTTGCCCCAACTGTTCAGGGTTCGACCTCTGCGGTCGTATCAAGCTGCGCCCTGTGGAGCATTTTATTGATGAAGTTGAAGTCCAATCAATCAACTTGAAACTTAGTACACATGTTCCCATGATATGATCTTTCTAATTTTAATGCCAAATTAGAGTTTTGACCCCAATTTCACGGTCCACTGAACATAGAAAATGATTGTGCGAGTGGGGCATCCGTTTCTATGGACATGCACATTCTTGTTCAAAATTCACTTATAATTACTTCACATGCTTTAATATTTGGTTGATAAATAGTTTATTTATAGTTATTATTTACAGAATGTTAATATGTTTAATAAATGCCAGGTTTGGTTGATAAATAGTTTATTTATAGTTTTATTTTTTTTACAGAATGTCAATTTGTATAAATGCCTGATTTTTGCCAAATTATTTTTAAAAAGGATTTTTCAAAAAAAATTTATATCATATTGATATCTAGTTAGGTTATTACTCTTCAACTGCAACAAGTTTTTTACAGTGGATTCCTTTACTTAAATCATAACTTAAAACCAGGAAATATCTGATGTCCAGCTGCTAACAACATGGTGTTCCCCAAATCGTTCATTATGTTGAGAAATTACACACATGTCAAACCAGATATTGGTGGGTGTCTTCCAAGTTTTTGCCATTCTTTATTTTCAATGCATGGAGAACAACCCTATCTTAATGTTTAGTTTCAATGCACAGAGAACAACCCTAGCTTAATGTTTAGTTTCAATGCTAACATCCCTGTCTTAATGTTTAGTTTTAATGCTAACAGCCCTATCTCAATGTTAAGTTTCAATACACGGAGAACAACCCTGTCTTAATGTTTAGTTTCAATGCATGGAGAACAACCCTGTCTTAATGTTTAGTTTCAATGCATTGAGAACAACCCTATCTTAATGTTTAGTTTCAATGCATGGAGAACAACCCTGTCTTAATGTTTAGTTTCAATGCATGGAGAACAACCCTGTCTTAATGTTTAGTTTCAATGCATTGAGAACAACCCTATCTTAATGTTTAGTTTCAATGCATGGAGAGCAGCTCTGTCTTAATGTTTAGTTTCAATGCATGGAGAACAACCCTGTCTTAATGTTTAGTTTCAATGCATGGAGAACAACCCTAGCTCAATGTTTAGTTTCAATGCTAACAGCCCTGTCTTAATGTTTAGTGTCAATGCATTGAGAACAACCCTGTCTTAATGTTTAGTTTCAATGCATGGAGAACAACCCTAGCTCAATGTTTAGTTTCAATGCTAACAGCCCTGTCTTAATATTTAGTTTCAATGCATTGAGAACAACCCTGTCTTAATGTTTAGTTTCAATGCATTGAGAGCAGCCCTGTCTTAATGTTTAGTTTCAATGCATTGACAACAACCCTAGCTTAATGTTTAGTTTCAATGCTAACATCCCTGTCTTAATGTTTAGTTTTAATGCTAACAGCCCTATCTCAATGTTTAGTTTCAATGCACGGAGAACAACCCTGTCTTAATGTTTAGTTTCAATGCATGGAGAACAACCCTGTCTTAATGTTTAGTTTCAATGCATTGAGAACAACCCTATCTTAATGTTTAGTTTCAATGCATGGAGAGCAGCCCTGTCTTAATGTTTAGTTTCAATGCATGGAGAACAACCCTAGCTCAATGTTTAGTTTCAATGCTAACAGCCCTGTCTTAATGTTTAGTGTCAATGCATTGAGAACAACCCTGTCTTAATGTTTAGTTTCAATGCATTGAGAACAACCCTGTCTTAATGTTTAGTTTCAATGCATTGAGAGCAGCCCTGTCTTAATGTTTAGTTTCAATGCATTGAGAGCAGCCCTCTCTTAATGTTTAGTTTCAATGCATTGACAACAACCCTGTCTTAATGTTTAGTTTCAATGCATGGAGAACAACCCTAACTCAATGTTTAGTTTCAATGCTAACAGCCATGTCTTAATGTTTAGTTTCAATGCTAACAGCCCTGTCTTAATGTTTAGTTTCAATGCTAACAGCCCTGTCTTATTTTTTAGTTTCAATGCATGGAGAATATGTGTTTTTCTATGTTGTGATGTTATACTATTGTTTCAGAAAAGGGAGAAGGTTTGGTACCATTAAAACGTTTAATTCCGCAGTAAATGTTATCCATTAGTTTGATGTGTTTGGTTTTTTTTTATTTTGCCATTTGATTGGGGACTTTCCTTTTTGAATTTTCCTCGGAGTTCAGTATTTTTGTGATTTTACTTTTTTTTTGCACCTGTCCTAAGTCAGGTATCTGATTACAGTAGTTGTCGTCTGTTTATGTAGTTCATACGTGTTTGTTGTTTCTCGTTTTTATATAGATTAGACCGTTGGTTTTTCCGTTTGAATGGTTTTACACTAGTAATTTTTTGGGGCCCTTTATAGCTTGCTGTTCGGTGTGAGCCAATGCTCCGTGTTGAAGGCCGTACCTTGACCTATAATGGTTTACTTTTATAAATTGTAACTTGGATGGAGAGTTGTCTCATTGGCACTCATACCATATCTTCCTATATCTATGTTTAGTTTCAAAAAGTAAAATCACAATTCATTGAGAACAGCCCTGTATTAATGTTTAGTTTCAATGCATGGAGAACATGTTTAGTTTCAATGCAAGGAGAACAAGTCTGTCTTAATGTTTAGTTTCAATGCATGAACAACAGCCCTGTCTTAATGTTTAGTTTCATTGCATGGAGAACAACCCTGTCTTAATGTTTAGTTTCAATGCATGGAGAACAGCCCTGTCTTAATGTTTAGTTTCAATGCATGGAGAACAACCCTAGCTTAATGTTTAGTTTCAATGCTTGTAGACCATGTTTAGTTTCAATGCATGGAGAGCAGCCCTGTCTTCATGTTTAGTTTCAATGCATGGAGAACAACCCTGTCTTAATGTTTAGTTTCAATGCATGGAGAACAACCCTGTCTTAATGTTTAGTTTCAATGCATGGAGAACAACCCTGTCTTTATGTTTAGTTTCAATGCATGGAGAACAACCCTGTCTTAATGTTTAGTTTCAATGCATGGAGAACAACCCTGTCTTAATGTTTAGTTTCAATGCATGGAGAACAACCCTGTCTTAATGTTTAAGTTCAATGCATGGAGAACAACCCTAGCTTAATGTTTAGTTTCAATGCTTGTAGACCATGTTTAGTTTCAATGCATGGAGAGCAGCCCTGTCTTAATGTTTAGTTTCAATGCATGGAGAACAACCCTGTCTTAATGTTTAGTTTCAATGCATGGAGAACAGCCCTGTATGCGCTAGAAAATTTCTATAGTCAGATTGATATGAGATCTTTGGAGGCTAGAAAAGTATTAAATTGTTACACGTCATATTCTTTCTATTGTATTCTCCCATAAAGCTGGTTGTCTGTTGTAAGCTTGTGTTGAAAGATTTATATTTTCGTTCTATAAATGTGCCATTTGTTTTAGAACAAGACCCTTTGCTATTCTTTACTTTATTCAAATACAAATATGTATTTTCTATGCCAAAGAAATGCTCAATTGCACAGATCAAACTACAGTGTTGTCATAGAGGTTGTAGAGAAGCCGATTCTCCAAATAGACATGCTATTTTTAGATCACCTGGCCCAGAGGGCCAAGTGAGCTTTTCTCATCACTTGGCGTCTGTCGTCCGTCGTCATTAACTTTTTACATTTTGAACTTCTTCTAGAGAACCACTGAATGGAATGAAACCAAACATGGCATGAATGTTCCTTATCAGGTGCTGACCAAGTGTTGTTACTTTGTAGCCGATCCATCATCCAAGATGGCCGCCAGCGGGGGACTTAGTTTAACATAGGACCCTATGGGAAATACATACAAATGTCTTCTTTTAGAGAACCACTGAATGGAATGGAACCAAACATGGCATGAATGTTCCTTATGAGGTGCTGACCAAGTGTTGTTACTTTGCAGTCGATCCATCATCCAAGATGGCCGCCAGCGGGGGACTAATTTAACTTGGGACCCTATGGGAAATACATACACGTCTTCTTTTAGAGAACCACTGAATGGAATGAAACCAAACATGGCATGAATGTTCCTTATGAGGTGCTGACCAAGTGTTGTTACTTTGCAGCCAATCCATCATCCAATATGGCCGCCAGTGGGTGACTTAGTTTAACATAGGACCCTATGGGAAATACATACAAATGTCTTCTTTTAGAGAACCACTAAATGGAATGAAACCAAACATGGCATGAATGTTCCTTATGAGGTGCTGACCAAGTGTTGTTACTTTGCAGTCGGTCCATCATCCAAGATGGCCGACAGCGGGGGACTTAGTTTAACATAGGACCCTATGGGAAATACATACAAATGTCTTCTTTTAGAGAACCACTGAATGGAATGGAACCAAACATGGCATGAATGTTCCTTATGAGGTGTTGACCAAGTGTTGTTACTTTGCAGTCAATCCATCATCCAAGATGGCCGCAAGCGGGGGACTTAGTTTAACATAGGACGCTATGGGAAATACATACACATGTCTTCTTTTAGAGAACCACTTAATGGAATGAAACCAAACATGGCATGAATGTTCCTTATGAGGTGCTGACCAAGTGTTGTTACTTTGCAGTCGGTCCATCATCCAAGATGGCCGACAGCGGGGGACTTAGTTTAATATAGGACCCTATGGGAAATACATACAAATGTCTTCTTTTAGAAAACCACTGAATGGAATGGAACCAAACATAGCATGAATGTTCCTTATGAGGTGCTGACCAAGTGTTGTTACTTTGCAGCCGATCCATCATCCAAGATGGCCGCCAGGGGGGGACTTAGTTTAACATAGGACCCTATGGGAAATACATACAAATGTCTTCTTTTAAAGTACCACTGAATGGAATGAAACCAAACATGGCATGAATGTTCCCTATGAGGTGCTGACCAAGTGTTGCTTCTTTGTTGCCGATTTACTGTTCAAGATGGCCACCAGGATATTTTATTAAATAACGGGACCAATATTAAACCAAATTTGGCCTCAATCATTATTTGGGTATCTGTTATGATTTTTATCTATCTTTACATGATTTCTTAAACCAAAGTATAGTCAGGTGAGCGACACAGGCTCTTGAGAGCCTCTAGTTTTATAATGTTAAATTAGTTTTGCAAAGACACAAACAAATGTATTCAATAAGTTTTTCCCGTATGTACAAGACATGCTTTGTATTGAAGTAACTAAGGTGATATAACTGTAAACAGGAACATTTTTTATGATGTTTCTGTTTTACTGTTATCATATATTAAATTATAGATTTATGATACACTACAGGTCACTAGCTGTAGATAACGTACAAATAAAATAAAAAATGGAAACGGAGAATGTTTCAAAGAGCAGAAAACAGCCATAGGCCAAATACATGTTTTGTCTTGTGGCATTCATAAAAAAACTTTAGATATTTAAACCTTTATTTAAATGATCAGAAACCAGTGATTTTTGATAACTTAGATATATGTACAAAGTAATTGTTTGTTGGTATTATGAAGCAATGAATGCATGTTGATATCAAATTACACATTAAATAGTTGCTGAGATATGTAGTGTTGTCATTCCTGTACAGGTTCTGCTTTTCTTGCGAAGCTGCCGAGACAAGTATCACCTTAGACATGTCCAGTAACAACCACAGTCCAGCCATTTAACATAGATATAAAAAAGAAGATGTGGTGTGATTGACAACGAGATAACTCTTCACAAAAGACCAAATGACACAAAAATTAACAACTGAAGGTAACCGTACGGCCTTCAACAATGAGAAAAATACCGCAAATTTAAAGTCAGCTATAAAAGACCCCGAAATGACAAATGTAAAACTATTCAAACGAAAAAACTAACGGCCTAATTTATGGACAAAAAAATGAACGAAAAAAAAATTTAACACAGCAACAAACGACAACCACTGAATTACAGGCTCCTGACTTGGAACAGGCACATACATACAGAATGTGGCGGGATTAAACATGTTAACGGGATCCCAACCCTCCCCCTAACCTGGGACAGTGGTGTAACAGTACAAAATAAGAACGAATTATAAAAATCAGTTGAAAAAGGCTTAACTCATCAGATGGATACAGATAGAAATACATCTAACAAAAACACAGAGTGGACGTGGTCGGGTACTTGTACATCCCAACAACAAAAAGACACAAAGTACAGATCTGAGAGTACTCACAATTACTGGCAGCTAGTTCAAAGCCACTAACACCTAATACAAAAAATCATACATCTAAGACTAAATTATCAATCAGTACACATCCAACATCCAATGGATTTAGTGTAAAGACGTCAGAGAAAAACATGACCTTGTGCATTGCCAAGATACAGGTATCGAGATTGTAGATCCATGAATGTGCATATGTATATAGCAATAATATTTAAAGACCATTTTGTATACTAAGCCAAAATATTTTCTCCCCCTGAAATATATATGTGAAATTAAATCAAACCTTTCACAATTTGCTTGTTACAATAGTATATATTTGATTTTATCGAAATGCTAAGGACTTTTTACCCCCAGGAATATATTACTTTAGCTTTATTTGGCAAAATCTTCATGAATTTTGGGTTATCAATGCTTTACAACTTCGTACTGCATTTGACCTTTTTAACTTGAGCGTCACTACTGAGTCTTTTGTAACCGAAATTCGCGTCTGATGTACAAAATTTTAATCCTGGTATCTACGATGAGTTTATAAATATTGGAGATTATTTCTATGCTGTATTGTTACACCACTGTCCCAGGTGAGTGCTTACAAACATTTTTATTATTTTTCTATTAAATTGTTTCATATTTTTGCAATGTCTGGGCCTTTTATAGCTGATAATGTGGTATGGGTTTCAATCATAGTTGAAGGCTGTACTATGACCTTCAGTTGCTTAGATCCATATACTTTGGACTATGTTGGATAGTGTTGTCATTGTCAATATACATTTGTTTCGCTTAACAGTTCCCATGGAAATTTTGTTATAAACAATTCCAAAATATGTGTTTCAGTTGGAACAAATATTCGATATCCTTTATTCCGTTAGGAACACATTCTTTAATATTTGTTCCACAGGCAATAATATTCCATAAAATTTCTTCCATCGGCAACTAATATTATGAAGGAACTATTATGTATGACGTCATTGGTAATCATACCATATCGACTTATTATATTAGGTTAGCAATTTTATAATTATATTCATATGTGATCATCGTTTTGGCATTGGGCAGGGGCATGCTTTTATCAGACTGTTTATGAATGTTTTTACACTAAATCCATTGGATGTTGACTGATTGATGTTTTAGTCTTGAAAACTATGATTTATGTGGTAATTGCAATTGACATTGAACTAGCGTTCTGTAGCTATAAGTACTTTTAGATCGTTACCTCTAGTTTTGTTGTTTTTGTGATGCTTTGTGCTGTTAAATCTTTTTAATTGATTTTTGTCTAAAAAGTATAAAGTATAATCACTGAACTGGTTCCCTGTTTTTGAGTCCGTCAGCAGTATTTATTGGCAATGTCTTATCTTTTCTACAAACCATTAAATCGTCTCCATTGTAATGGACAAAGTTTTTCAAAATGGGGATGTTCTGGAACTTCCGAAGGAATAGATGTGAACAAAATACATGTAAGTGTGCCTGTCGAAAAGCAGGGTAAATAACAGGTGATGTCACCAAAATGTATCATGCAAAATAAAATAATTGTATTCTTAATATCAGTATATATGTCCTTTATTCATAAATCACTGTACAATAGTTTTAACTAGTAGTGTTTATCAAAAATACGTATTTCAAAATCATTGGTCTATTTTCATATTAAGAAAAACGCATTTCTAATATAAAGTTTAAACTTGTAATCAGGGATTTTACAAAATCCCTAACACTATTTTTAGTGATATTATAAAATACCTGACAATTTCATGGATTATACAAAAATCACTGAAACTTTTAGTGATTTTGCAGAATCGCGAATTATTCTGGGGATTTTACGAAATCCCTCATTTTACAAATTCACTGTAACATATGCACATACATGTATCAATGATACAAGTAAAGTCAGCAAATAACAAAGTTTACTTTTTTTTGCCACAGGAACGCTATTTATTAAATCTACAGATATATATATACTGTATACATATATACTTCTTAATACAATTAAGTGAAATATATCAACAAAAATGATCTGAAATAATCAAATCAATATGTCAATAGGCATTCCTCGATTCTATTTTTATCTAATTTTCAGATTGTAGAATGAAAGATGATTTATGATAATTTTACTGAACCCCCGGATCACCTATCCATCAAACAAAACGAGACGGTTCTTTTTATTTCAGGCAAATAGTTCTTTCGCGATAAGATAATTCTTTATAAGATAACTCTTTAATGAAATTCCTGTTTTAAAGAATGTTTCTCAAACACCTACATTATCGTAATTTGGCAATTATTGTGTGATTTTTGTGTAGCGTACTTATTTACTCTCTGCTAACCGTACATGTTTGAATCAATTATAGTTTGAATTTGAAGGTTTATTGCTACCAAGATCTTTATAATTTGTTTGCAGTCTTTTATTCGAGGTTTGCACATGGTTGCAGCATTCGTGACTATACAAACAGTCAGGCTTTTTTCATTTTATATCAGCATGCTACCAAACGTCTCAATAACCTGAAACTTGTGTACCTTTTTAAACATTGTGACTTGGATTGAGAGTTGTCTCATTGGCACTAATACCACATTTTCTTATTCATAAAGAAAATAGTACTATTGTTTATATTATTATATATAACTTAATAATTATGTTACTAAAAACTTAAGGTTTTGCTGGATTCTATGGCTTTAGTAACGTTTTATCATACCTATTTGGCTTCCGAAAGATTCGTTCTCAGGTCGATAGCACAATGGTCAACTATATCTGACATATAGTATGATTGTAAGGTGTACAGGTCCGTCCATTCATTTGTACTAAATCACATGTTTATGGTGTATTGGTCAGTGGGAAATTTCTTAATAAGGTCTGTTTCTCAGATTTTATAAGTAACAAGTCAAACCATATATTGAATATACAATGGTTAAAAATGTTCTTGTTTTCGTAATTTGGCCTGTTTCTCAGATACTATATAAAATGATTTGTCAACTACAGACGTATACAGATGTATAGTAAAGGGTTAGTTATAAATGTCCTGCTGACAAGGTCACCTGACATTAACCTCATTCCCTGGTTCATTGGTCAAAGTTCAAATTTTGTAATTATGTCCGTTCCTTAGATTTTATCAAAGGGACGGAAGATACCACAGGAACGGAAGATACCACAGGAACGGAAGATACGTAAGGGACGGAAGATACCAAAGGGACGGAAGATAACAAAGGGTCGGTAGATACCAAACCGACGGAAGCCACCTAAGAATTGACGGGGACACCAAAGCGACGAGAGATACCAACGGGTCTGAAAAAAAGCAAAGGAACAGGAGATACGAAAGGGTCAGAAGCTACATAATTATAGTAGTGACGGAAGACAGTTATATAAGAGACGAAATATAACAAAGGGACAGGAGATACCAAAGGGACAGAAGATACATAATTATAATAGCGACGGAAGATAATAATATAAGAGACGGAATATACCAAAGGGACAGAAGCTACATAATTATAGTAGTGACGGAAGATAATTATATAAGAGACGGAATATAACAAAGGGACGGGAGATACCAAAGGGACAGAAGCTACATAATTATAGTAGTGACGGAAGATAATTATATAAGAGACGGAATATAACAAAGGGACGGGAAATACCAAAGGGACAGAAGCTACATAATTATAGTAGTGACGGAAGATAATTATATAAGAGACGGAATATAACAAAGGGACGGAAGATACCAAAGGGACAGAAGTTACATAAATAAAGTAGTGACGGAAGATAATTATATAAGAGACGGAATATAACAAAGGGACGGAAGATACCAAAGAGACAGAAGCTTCATAATTATAGTAGAGACGGAAGATAATTATATAAAAGACGGAATACAACAAAGGGACGGAAGATACCAAAGGGACAGAAGCTACATAATTATAGTAGTGACGGAAGATAATTATATAAGAGACGGAATATAACAAAGGGACGGAAGATACCAAAGGGACAGAAGCTACATAATTATAGTAGTGACGGAAGATAATTATATAAGAGACGGAATATAACAAAGGGACGGAAGATACCAAAGGGACGGAAGCTACATAATTATAGTAGTGACGGAAGATAATTATATAAGAGACGGAATATAACAAAGGGACGGAAGATACCAAAGGGACAGAAGCTACATAATTATAGTAGTGACGGAAGATAATTATATAAGAGACGGAATATAACAAAGGGACGGAAGATACCAAAGGGACAGAAGCTACATAATTATAGTAGTGACGGAAGATAATTATATAAGAGACGGAATATAACAAAGGGACAGGAGATACCAAAGGGACAGAAGCTACATAATTATAGTAGTGACGGAATATAATTATATAAGAGATGGAATATAACAAAGGGACGGAAGATACCAAAGG